TTACATTCAAAGATGTTTTTTTTTCGAACGGGGGGCGCTGCAATGCATTCTCTATGGCTTCCGGGAGGGCTCGCACTAACGTGCTTACGTCATCATACGTAAGCACGTTTCATCCAACAAAATTATTTATCGCCATCTAGTGGATTCTTTAATAAAAGAAACATGAGTGGATTGTATTAATAGTGAGTATAGAAACAAACAAGATGTATTGTAAGAGTCACTTTATTTTTCATTAATATTAAAGAAGTGAAGTTGCCTTTACATGCTTAGGCTGTTAATTTATCCTTTGCATGGGTGGACCTTATCCTTATCAATCATCCAGACATTTGCCCCCCCTGAGAGATTTTGCAGGAGCCGCCACTGGCTCTGGTCACACACGGAATGCACGTGGCCACGTGGCACCTCTGTCCGGCGCCTCCGTCCGTGCGTGCCGACAGATCTCTCCCTCTCTCTCTTCTCTCTCTTTTTTTTCTCATCAATATTTTGTAATTTTTATTTCATCAATACTTTGTCATTTGTATTTTATCATCATCATTCTTTTGTAATTGCAAAGACGTTACAATCGCCGCTCGTTTACGCTTCGACTCTAAACTCGCGCGCCTTAATTATTTTTGCGGGAGGCTCACTTGATGGATTGGTTTGGAGTGGCAGCTCTCGGCTAGGCTTGTAATTAACCGCTTGCCAGTGCGGAAGAGGGGGGCCAATTGCTCCCCTCCTCTGTCTGGAGCCCCCCCCCCCCCTCTAGAGCCCCCCATCTCTCTGTCTGGAGCCCCCCCCCCCTCTCAAGCCCCGCCTCCCCTCTCAAGCCCCGCCTCCCCTATCAAGCCCCGCCTCTCTCTCTCACTCCTGTGATGGGTGGCACGCGTCACAAAGCAGTTGAGTTCCAATATCCAGTTGGCTCTCGATGATCCGCGCGTGGATTATCCGGGTCGTGAAAAAAAGGAAAATAAATTCTAGAAATGTTGTGTACCCATGCTCATCCGTGGCTTGTTTTTTTTTTGGGGGGGGGGGGCAGACGCTGCTGGCGATAATATTGGCTGCTCCTCAATCATGACTCGGTGATCGGTAACTCTAAGAAATAAAACAGATGTCATTCAACGTCTCGACTCCGAGCTGAGTAGGTAAACAATAATTACGGGTATCATGGCCTAATCTGCTGATGCTTTGTTTTTCGTGGTGTTTGCTTTCGGAATCGGAATCAGAAAATGTATTTCTACTTGAGAAATCCGATGAGCTGTGAAGCTCTTTTGCGCACACCTGGGCCGTCTCTCCGTCAAAAGTAGCCCAGCTAATCGAGAGTGAACTGGACTGACGAATGGAAAGGAAAAATAAGAGCAATGTAAAGAAACTTAAGACATTTTGTTTGAGAAAAATGCAATGTAAACGGTTCTCGCACGTGTGTAAATGTAACGGAGCAGCAAATTTTATTCAACGTGTAGGTGTGTTAAATAAAATCACGTGTTCAACCTTCACACGCGTGACACTCGATTCAACATTTGCCGAGACGTTCTTCGTCTCTGTAAGCTATTAATGTGACTGCGTGTCTAATGAATTGCAATTTTAGAAGGAACACAAAAAAAACACACCGTCGTACACCGTCAAATAGAAGTATTGTTTTATAGTTCAAAGACATAACCATAATCGCGTTTTGAAACGGCCGCATTGCAAATGCTACGTCAAGTACACACACACACACACACAATAACAGGGCAAGAGAAATACAAGCTGCGTTACAACGTGATTATAATCATGTCCCTGGACTAACAATGATGGAAGAGAGACGGTGCTTAACCGTGCGGCATGCTGGGTGCACCATCGTCTGTAAGAGAATCTAGACGCAACGTCTGGAACTTATAATCACGTGAAGATGTATCCGTGTACACCATTGCAATCGGTTAACCGCGACATCTGGCATTGGCATCGCAGTCGCTACGAATAATGATCAAACTATCACTTATATACGCGTGTAATCTAATTACCACTATTGCTTTTACATTGTAATCGGGTGCGTTTAAATCAATTGTTGCCCATTAAATAAGTGTCACTTAATTACGTCGCCCGCCAACACCTTATCTGCTTTTCACGCGATATCCGCAAACATTGCCGGGATGTGACTTCGTCGCGTGCCGGCTGAACGAGCGTCTGCAGCGTAAACTGGCGGCTCGCGGGTTGTACGAAGCGACTCTGTCTGCGTGGAGTGTGGATACAAACTAAACAAAACTAAAAAGCGGGCCGCGTCTCCAGCAACCACCGTACACGTATCGTCCAAATAAATGAGATCAGGCGGCAGATCACACGTGTTGGCAAGGGGCTCAGCCCCCCCCCTCCCCCGCCTCAAACCTATTCGCCAGCTCGAGGATTGTCAACCATCTTCTTGGTTCTTTCGGTAAAGTCACGTAGAAGGGAAGTAATAAAATAATAAAAATAAAACATAATAAAATAAAATATTATATTTATATTATTTCATTTTATTATGTTTTATTTTTATTATTTTATTACTTCCCTTCTACGTGACTTTACCGAAAGAACCAAGAAGATGAATCCCTGCAGTCACGAAAGCTTTAAATCGAGATTGTCAACCACTCCTGTGTTTGAATCCTCGAACCGCGAAGAGGCGGATCGTCGTGAGGACTGGTGACCGGTAGCACCGCACGCGGTAGACAGATTTCATTGGTGAACCCCCCGCGCAATTTAAATGTATTTCGGACAAGGGCCCCGTGAGGTCACCACTTGCAGAGCACGTGGTCGACTGATCAGGGCGATGAACCGCATGCCCTTAACGCGTGTCAGTCTACAACATGCGCTCTCTTGTGTTTGGACATTCGGAGAGATCACGTACACATTTTGCTTGTTTCACAAAACTCTTTCAGCACCGCCCCATATTTATTTTTCATTTCAGGCCTCCAAATATTTTTTTTATTTTTTTTACCCGCCAGCTACGAGCTTATGAAAACCAGACGTCGTCCAAAGCAGTCAGTATCAGGCAAATGTCCTCAAATTAACCTGGTGTGGAACATTTAAATTGACCGTATCCAACTGCTAAAGCACAATCAGTGAGTCTCTATCAGCCAGACTGGAACAAAGTGCAATGATTGCCAGAATTTGGTCGTGTGTGGTGAGATCATTAAACATTTCCATTCAATGAAGATGGGGGAGATTAGGCGATGTCCTTTGAGCTCCATTACCAATGTGCTGCATGTCAAGCAGTATGCGGCACAAGCTGCCATTGTGTCTTAACAAAGCAAAGGACCAGACGGAGAGGAAAGCACACATCCTGATTTGCAGAAACATTATTCCAAGCAGGGAGCAATTACCAATAACCTACACACACGCGCACACACACAGAGGCAAGCTTCCTCGTATAGCTTTGTGGACTGTTGGAGTGAGTGCTGTTGGCAAGCACCTATCAAGACTGGCTGGGTGGCTTGAGAGATCAGAGAGCATTTAGCTGCAACCACTGAGATCCTGGGTTTGAATCTATAAAGTCACCTGCGATTAAACATGAGCCTCTAGTTTAGTGAGTTTATTAGTTTCAGCCTGGTGAGCAAGTAAAATGTTCTACTTAATTTGGCTAAATTCCAGCTCAAGAAATAAAACATCGTTTTGACTGTCACTCTCTGAACATTGCTCCGTGGCAGAACAAGTGCTGCCCCCTACTGTGCCAGCCAAAGTTCACTCGAAGGATTTCAGAGGTAGCTCTGTGGGCTTTGCTTCTTTCTAACACGAAGAGTTTCACTGCTCTGTACATACTGTATACTGGATTGCACCGATAGCACACGCCCGGCCACCTACACTGCACCAAGTAGTTATTTAGCGGCTGAGTCAACCTCGGGGAGGCTCAGAACCAGATCAGACGCCACTTGCCACTATTTTCAGCCAGTGGAAAGAAAGCCTAACTCAGGCCACTGGGTTCATCGCGCAGCGCGATACCCACTGCAATATCGCCACACACACACACACGGCGGGACGTGCTTACACAGTCGCTGCGAATTCAACTCGGGAATAAATGGCGCTGTATTTAATGCACGTTAGAAAGAAAAAAAAAATCTTTAAAAAATGTTCCTGCTGACCAGCCTAATTACGCACAAATATTCCACCTCAGTGTTGCACGGTCACTCTCAAGGCAGGGCAGCTCGGTGAAATACGAGGGGAACAATATATATAAAGGGGCCTTTTCACGTACAGAGGTCACTCAACACTCCACCAGGTGCCAGTGGAACATAGTAAGAAACAAATCCATGCCAACACTCACTCTACGACAATACGATATTACTAACAATAATTATACCCACAGTACGAAGGGATATTTGGGTTACATTACTTTCTTTTGCCCTTTCGGACTGCGCGTTCATCACACACCGGGCTCCATTTCCCCGCAGCAATCGCATCGACCGACACTTGTCAACGACGCGGCCCTTTTACCTCTCCCCTGCTGGATGATGGGCCCCTGCTCACTCCTGGTGGCTACTTGATCACACGTCACGACGTTGGTCAAGGCGGGTTGGTGAAGGCAGGGAGCATAGACGTGGACGCGATAGTACCATACAACAATGCATTGTTTTTCTAACTCTGCCCTCCACTGAATACTTGGCCCCACAGCAGCCTGTGCTGGACGCCCATCCAAGCACGATCCACGCTCAACTCTACTTAGCTTCCACAGTCTGACGAGGTCGGGGCGAATTCCACTTGATTTGATGAAAATTGAATCGTCGTGTGACATTAGATATAGATGCGAAATATCACAGTCGACGCTTACTTTGCGTTTAGAACTGCACTGATTGCAAGTACCATAACAATTCTAATTTGAAAACCTACCCATTAATGAAAGTCATACCTTTAATTGTCAGCTGGGTCTAAATCCATCAAGGTAGCAGCTTTACTCGACGCCACAAAATTATTCAATTTGCCCAATGCCAATAAAGTGACTTATAAGACAAACCTGCCTTATTCGAAAGGGGCTTCATGAACCACTGAATTTACTCAACATAGCTTCACAACCATCATGATCATCCGTTTTATTTAAATAAGCACATTCCAAGTATAGCATAGCGCAAAGGTCCACGCCACTGAAGTACCATACGTAATTGGGACAAACACGATGCAAACATTCACTTTTGAACAACCCTGAAAGCATCCAGCCTCTAACCATAAAAGTAATCTGCTTGGCCACGTCATTGTGCGCAGATATTATGTCCGAGGGTCAAGATGCCCCTGTTCACTTAACTTTCTCAAATACCGAATACCTCCGCTCAAAAATCATCAATGAAAAGCAAAGTTTGAAAAATGCCATGCATCTTGAAAAAATGGAGAAGCCTTGTTCGGCGCTAAGAAAGCTCTCGGTTGTGGCGAACATCCTACCCGACGGGAACAGCGATGCCATTGTTCAAATGCTGGACATAGAGATGCGGTTCTGTCGGTTTGTAACGCCGCGTGAAAAATATCTTACCGCTGTGATCGTTAACAAACTTGGCCTCATGACTGAAAACATTTCCATGAGCGAACGGTTTTCGGGCAATTGGCCACTCCCTGACTGTGGAGCATGAAACAAGACGGGGCAGAACATAGCCGGAGCCACCGTTTTCACGGTGCCGTGCCTGACATACCGAACCCCCGGGGCGGCGAGCTCGCGTGAGAAGACAGTGTCGCTCGCAACAGCGCCGCCGGAGCTTCTTGCAACCAGCGGCGCGTGCAACACCACTGCCCGCACGGCCCTTCGCTGTTCACCTACTTCCGAATCTCTGAACAGAAACACCACCCCCCCCCTCCCCCACGTGCAATAACAACGACGGTTAAGGAACATCGTGAATTTTACATACGAATACATCGGGCGCGGCGGCGGCGGCGGCGGCCGCAGGGCGAGCCGAGCGAGCGCGCCAGCTAGCGCCCCGTCCGGGCCCCCACGTCGGCGGCGCCCTGCCGCCCCGTGCCCGGGTGGCGGCGCATGCGGCCGCGCCCGCTGTCCTGCGGGTGCTTCCACTTGCCGGCCACCGCCGCGCCCCGGAAGCGCGGCTTGGGCCTCTTGAGCCACAGCTGCTCGCACAGCTCCTCCACGCCTCCGTCCGGCAGCGGGCGCAGGTACGCGTCCTTGCGGGGCGCGGCGGGGAACGCGGGCGGCATGGAGGGCGGGTGGCCCGCGGCGGCGGCGTTGGGGGGGCGGCGCCGGTCGTCGTCGGCCGCCCCCCGCGGGGGGCCCCACGCGGCCGACCGGTCGGTGCGGAGGCCCTCGCCGGGCACCACGTGCAGGGCGACGCGCGACACCTCGCGGCTGTAGGCGTTCTCGCGCGCGCGGCACCGGTACACGCCGGCGTCGCCGCGGTGGAGGTCGCGCACGAGCAGGCCCTGGGCCGTCTGCACGATGCGCTCGTCCGTTTTCAGCTGTGGGCGGTGGTGGGGGGGGAGGGGGTTTGTGTCAAGATAATTTGACGCAGTGAGTTAGGGAAGTGGGGTTGAGTGAAACAAATGTCACGGCTGGAGGGGATCAGTGGTGCCACGAGGAGGATGCAAACCAAGCAATAGGGCTAGAAACGGTATCGGTTAATGGTGCAGTGCATGCATGGCTGATTTTTAATTCATAGCGGTACAGCGGTTCGTATTTGGCGAAAAGGCAAACGGCACTCACCTCCTGTGGTGGGTCTTTTTTCGAGTGCTGCACATACCACGAGAGGGCGGCCAGCCGGGACGGGGGCACACACTCCAGGAAGGTGGCGTTGCCCTCCACCCCAAATAGAACCTTCTCCTCCGACTCCTCAAACTCGCCGCCTGCTCCCAAAAGCCACACACATCGCAAAATCACGCTGCTCCACGGCCTACTCGTTTCGAATGACATCGTCGTTATCTTTAACGATGACGTCATTCATCGTTAAAGATAACGATGAAGCTGACGGCGTGTCTTTATGTTTGATGTATTAACCACAGCGGCCTTGCCGGATTTGAACCACGAACCTCGGTAACAAGCGGCGAACTCGCTACCGCTATGTTACTGCGAGTTTAAATCCGGCAGGCCATCCTGGTTATTACCGCGGGTGTATTAACCGTAAAAATCCGTGCCTTCTGCTTTACAGTGGACGATTAAGATCCCCTCGCATCATCAGAAAAGAATCGACCGTTGTGTGCCAGTGTCAGGGTCCAAATTTGCCAAATTCGAAAAATCACCCACGAAATACTCAATTGCGATCACACAGCGGCAGCAGCAGCAGCAGCACCAACATCGCCCCCTTCATGCGGAACCACTGCAGGCTGTGTCTGTGCAACACGGCGTCTCCGTGATGATAGCCTGTAGACGGTGAAGAATTGCACGAACACCGAACGTACGTTATTACTGCTCGATTACAAACGGTGGCAGTGGGGGGCGCGCGCACGGGGAGGTGCGAGTTGGACACCCACCGTGCGTGTCCCAGCAGTGCGTGGTCGGGTCCCCGTGCCGCACATCCTGGCGGCGAGCCCTGCGCGAACTGCAGCAACAACGACAGCAACGGCCGCTATTCACCACTTCAACCCTCTCCCCTTCCGAGATGTCTGCAGTTTGCAGGCTGGGTGCGTCCCGTTCACCTCTGAATCTCGGAACGCGTGAGCGGCTCAGACGTACATTTTATTTAGAGAGGTGTAGTAGCGCCGTGGTTTTTTAAGACACTGTAATCATCGCAAAGAACAGTGGCGACACGACCGCACTCTATGATAGCTGGCGCCAGACTGTGCCGCACGCTCCTCCCTTCCTTCCGGTTTCGTTTGGATGATGTACACGTACGTCGTCGGAACAAAATCGGGAGAGAAACCGATGACGTACACGTACGTCATAACTTACACTTATGTTATCGGAACGGGAAAGTGATGAGCGGCGGTGACAGCATCGAGGTGCACTGTGCGTTTTGTAGCCACATACAGTGCACACATTTGACCAGCGGTGTTGTGAGCAAGCAACTGCAGTTGCTGTTGCACCTTTTTTTTACTTTATTTTAGGAGGGAATTTCCATCGCAGCGAGGCAGCCAGAAGCAGCGGCCAAAGTCTACACGTTTCGACGACCGCTTGACGTCACGGAGACAAACAAAACAACCCGCTCAAAGACGTCGCCATCATTGGGGAACTTAACCAAATCCAGAGCGCCCCCGGTCGCAGCGCTTTTTTTTTAGTGGCCGCAGGAGAATATCAGTGCACGTTTAAGGCCCCTGTAAAAGCCCAATAAATGTTTTTTTTCTGCTCCCCTACTTTTCACAAAACACACTAACAAGATAACACGAACCGCTTGCACTGGTGTGCGGACTATGCAGCGTTTATACTGCATCGCGGTTTTGTGCAACTTGTGTTTTTTGCTCCATGCCCGTGCCTCGCTCGGCGTTCAATGCACAATGGTTGCCATCATTGTACGTGATTCTGATTCTGTTACAGTTGCTGTGTGGACAACAGTGACCTTGAACGAAGGCATTTTGTAAACATCCCATGTGCGGTTTGTTTGGCGGCCAGACGAGCCACACAAGTGAGACAGTCAGGCGGTCAATGCAAGAGAAACAATGAGACAGCCAGACAGAATAGGCATTTTGACGGTAAGACGGACAGTCTGAAAGACAGACCATAGGCAGAGGGCAAAACAGCCAGAGAACAAGGCAGCAAGACAGTCATCCAGAGAATCATGCAGGCAGCAGGACCTGGCCATGAAGGAAGTAAACAAGGCAGCAGTGGCTTAGTGACTACATTCCAGTTGCGTAGTGACTACATTCCCAGTCGCTTAGTGACTACATTATCAGCTCAGGGGGTGCGGTAATCGAGCAGGTGGATGCCCCAAATATTTGATTTGAATTAAATTAAAATAAAACGTGGAATAGCAATGAATTAATAATAAAAATAAAACGCATTTAAAATAAGTGTTTTGTTCTTTTACACTGTTGTTGAAAACAAATCTCGTGGTGGTTGTCAAGGGGGCCCCAACTCGTAACTTTGGCCCCACGCTCGTTACGCTGCTGCAAGACGGGCAGGCAGCAGCACCTGTAGGCATAGAGGCAGGCTGGCAGACAGGCAGGCAGGCAGGGAGCAGGGCCTGTAGACATACAGGCAGGTAGCAGGGCCTGTAGGCATAGTGGCAGGCTGGCAGTTAGGCGGGCGGGCGTGCGAGTGCCCGGCACACCTCTTGTTGGAGGGGAAGTATCTCGAGCAGGCGGTGCCGTCCCAGGCGCAGTACGGGTCGCGCGAGAGGCAGCACTCGGCGCACGCCTTCCCGTAGACGTGGCACCGCTGGAAGGAGAGCTGCACCAGCCCCTCCTGCAGGCCCACGAGCAACTGTTGCTGTAGTGAGAGAGAGAAAGAGATACGGCGCACGAGCGTGTAGTTCAAATTGTTTGCACGGAGTTGTGCATTGGCGGTGGGCAACGCCATCGATTCATTGACTCATTATCACTACACTCCAGAACCCGGTTTAATCCCAGGCTGCTGTCTAGGGTTTGATCCCAGGATCTCAGTGGTGACAGCTCAGCGCCCTGACTCTCTGAACCACCGGGCAACTTCAAATGTCAATTGTCGAAGCTCTCGATACATGCGTTGAACCACACGTGTAATGGTCGGAGGTTTCGATGCGTGTGTGTTTCGTGCGATGGGTTCACGTGACCATACCTGTCAACCCCTTATCAGTGCCCTTCCTTATTACAAACCAATTCAGATCTTATTGGTCACCCCGTGCCTTTATAAATCTCAACGTTCATCCTACAAAGTCCCATCGCAAATGGCTGTATGCCATATGGAGCTCGAAAATTAAATCTCCCTGTACAAGAATACAGGTAAACCATATGGGTTGACATGTATGTAGTAGTGTATATTAGTGTAGTGTATAGTAGTGTGGTGTTTAGTAGCGTACCTGTCAACCCCTTATCAGTGCCTACCTTTTGATTTAAAGCTTTCGTGACTGCAGGGATTCATATTCTTGGTTCTTTCGGTAAAGTCACGTAGAAGGGAAATAATAAAATAATATAAACACACCTGATGATGATTGCTTGTGTTGCAGTCGAAACGTCGTGAGAATTTTTATTGTTTTATATTTATATTATTTTATTATTTCCCTTCTACGTGACTTTACCAAAAGAACCAAGAATATAGTGCCTACCTTATTACTACAGACCAATTCAGACCTTGTTGGTCACCAAGCGCCCTTATAAAAATCAACGTTCATCCTACAAAGTGCCATATTGCCCGTAATGAAACGGCTGTTCGCCGTATGGCGCTAAAAACTAAATTTCCCTGTTCAAGAACACGGGGATAGAACCGTGTGGGTTGACAGCGTGCGCATGACTCCCAACAGCCACTGGTGGAAACTCCCATTTACGGCGACGTTAGAAACGTGAATTAAATCCTCTATTGAATCGGGAACCATTGAATCACGACAATTAATTGAAACCTTTAATGTGCGTGTACAGTAATTCAATCTTATGAAGTTTCATTCCGTGGCGAACAAATTAAAGAGCATATTGCATGGAAAACGATGACTCCTACATCATACATTTAAACATATCGTATTTTGTTTATAATATCTTACCATTATTTTTCCACTGCATACCAAATGCGTAACAGTAACTATGTTTTCTTCAATATAAACCTACATGATTGTCAACATCGGCTTTTTCTTCTCATATTCAGCTTAATTCATCAATTTCTGTATTTAAAATAGTTTATATATCTCTCACGTTTTATATCAGTAGCTGGCGTGGGAGACATCCTGAACAGATCTTCCAAATGTTTGTTCCGAGTGATTTACGATCGTACCCAATCACACAAAAAGGCCTCGTATAATTTTTTGACATCATCGTGCGAAAACATTCTAACGGCGGGTCAGCTAAACCGATGGGTGCGAGTGGCTCACCCATCTCTCCATTCGGGGATATTTTGGTGACGCGTTGACTGTGGCAGGAGGGGGAAACATTTCGATAAAACCTCCTTGAACATGCGCCCATAATGTTTTCAAAAGACATAAGCGTGCGGATTTGTACATACGCCAGACCAAGCGTACAAGTATCCCCCCCGCCCCGCCACCCCCGGAGGATCTAAAATACTACAGAGTGCACATTGCTGCAGGTTTTTTTTCTTCTTCTTCCAAAGAACATAACTGCTGCTTAAACGTGTAAAGAAGTCTATGCTATTATCATCTCAGTGGTTTAGTAGGCTTTGTGTTGTTGTTGCCACAGCCAACTATGGTCTGGAGAGTATACATATTTTTTCCATTACGTTTTATATACAATAATGATACATCTTGGCGGTCTATTATTCTGGCAACCCAGCACAAGTTTTCGAAACAGCGCCCTCAATTAATGAGAAATAAACACCAAAACAATCACTGTATGTGAGCTGAGGCCTGTTTCTTTCTTCTGCGCTTGTTTTAACCGAAACGTTTTATTTTCCCCTACCTCGCTCGACCGCCGAATCCATAATATTTCCCCTTTGATTGCGTAAACAGATTCAGCGGTGTTTAAAAAGTTGCCAAAAGCTGGGTTTTGGCAGCGGCATTCGATTGCATGGGGAAAACACGTGTTAGGCCGAAACCGTGAAGCGACGCATGCCCCCTTGTCGAGCATGAAACTTAGCGGGTAACTTTCAATTTAGAGCTTTCGTGACTGCAGGGATTCATCTTCTTGGTTCTTTCGGTAAAGTCACGTAGAAGGGAAATAATAAAATATTAATAAAATATTATTATTTTATTTTATTATTTTATATAACTATATCATAGCATTATTTTATTATTTTATATAATTGTATTATGTTTTATTTTTATTATTTTATTATTTCCCTTCTACGTGACTTTACCGAAAGAACCAAGAAGATTAGCGGGTAACGTTCAGATCTACTCGCGGTGCGAACCCACGTCGCGAACAGCTCCAAGAAATCAACGCCACGTTAATGGAGCGGATTCAAATTCAGATTGAGATCGCAGTGTGCGTGTGTTCCATTCCCACTCACGGCCAACACCCAACGACGATTATCTGAACCGGTAATGGGCCTCCCCTGGGTCGACTCAGCCTCAAATGAGTACCTGACGCGATGTGTAAACATCGCCACGAGGGAGAAAAAAGGCGGTCGGGCGTGTTGTCGGTCACCCACCCCCTCCTGTGCCTTACAGGCCTTCATAGGTGCTCGCTAACAGTCTGTCAAGCCTATACGGGGGTTCTTCGTCTTTGCCTTGTATGCAAACAGCGTTGATTGCTTAGCTCGTCGAGTGGGATACTTTAACAATCATCAGGCTTGTGCAGTGTGAAACGAGTTAATTTGTATTTGAATGTGAGTACATTGATAAATACGGAGAGACAGAGTGTGGTGGAGGGGGCTGGCGAGGACTGGACTTTGCGAAACTCTGAAACCAGGGCAATGAAACAGCACGGAGAGACAGCGTGCCAATCGTTAATGACGTGAACGTTTCAATAACCGCACACTCAGTGCGTGGCAGCGGAACGCGCCGTTACCCTTTTTGGAGAGATCACCATGGACAGCACCGGAGAAGGATCCTGTTGAGAAATGGAAAAAAATTATTTTAAAAATAATTCTTTTTAATATTTCGAAAAGCGTCGTTCATGCAAAATGGCGTTTCACAACGCTGTACAATAATACAATAAATAAATACAAATGTTGCATTTCACAAGACATAGCACACCCAAACTAAGGTGAATTCAACTTAAGGCTGCAGTAAACAATAATGTTTTTCAATGAGACGCAAATACAGGAATGGACATACTCGCGTATAAATGTGCGTAGCATAATTCAGCATTCCACACTGACGGAGTAACACCGTAGTCCTACTTTAGCCATGTAAGCCACACGGTGCATTTTTAAAAAGGTTCTGAATCCGGCACACGTAAAAAAAAACCTCACCAATTTCGTGATTAACGCTGCCGTTAAACGTAAATATTAGCAATAGGCTGACGTTATGGGCAAGAGCTATTCCTGGGGGATGTTTGGACAATTGGCCAATTCCTTAATGCAGGAGTTTTCCAATTCCATCGTGATTCATTCCTTTATGGGGGCTTGCCAATACCTTAATGGCCAAATCTTTAACACGGACCGTGCCAATTCATTATTAAGCTCTCCAATCCCTTCATGGCCGAGGCCGTTAACCAGGGGGGTTTCACTCGCTATGCAGTCGATGGGCCCATGAGACCAGACCACGAACGGGTTGTTCGGGGTCTAAACTGTGAGCGTCGTGGCAATGATCGTACCCAGCAAAGCCTCACTGAATCACAACACTCTTTTTTATTTTCAGGAGGGTTCCTCCGTTGGGTTGTTTGGCCTTTCACAATTAACGGGCGTTTGGTTTCACGTGGGACAAAACTAAAGGGCGCAGAGACAATCCAAACACACACGACAGGGGTGACATTCAGGACCGGAATCTCGTAGCCACCTCGCAGTCCTACGTGTGCAGGGCAAACTGAGCAGCGCTGTCGAGTAACTCATCGAGACATCTGACAATGTCCGCTAGGCACGCTTAGCGGGGTGTCTGAGGATGACGTCGCATCCTGCAAACGACGAAGCTGCTGCCCGGCTCGGCGAAACCCACTCAACCACTGGGGAGGGGGCGGGGTAGTGCCCTTTGAATTGATTCGATGTGGCCATACGCCTGCACTGCGTGCCGCACGCGAATTAGCGGTGTACAATGCACACGGCGCGTGCTCGAGTGTTGCTATGAATCAGGCGAGGCATAATAAAGGGAGCCATGGTTCAGTAGGAGACGCGTGCTAGCCCCTCTCCCCCTTGCACTCAGTGAAAACGGAAATAAACGGCGATCAAGATAAAAAAAACAGAGACGTGGCATTTGCGGTCATTTTGAAGCCGGAAAATATATTTTAATACTCGCTCTGGAATAGGCATTTTAATTTATCACTGTAAAGTTGCAATTATTCCAACCCCTCACACTCCTGGATGATGACCAAACGTAAGATTACACACAAGCACCGCTTGCTAGGCGGTAAAATGTCATTATTTTGTGAACGTTCCAGAAGCGTACTCTGAAACTAAATACCCCCTGACACAGCAAGTGGTAAACATATGCATACACATATATATGTATAGGTGTCTGTATATAAACGAATGTTTTCACGATGGCTCAGAATTGGCACGAACCCAAGCCCTGGCATCGTTAAGGAAACCGTCTGAACGTTGCTCTCTCCCATTAGGGTATCTGTCTTTAGCTTGAAGACATTTCTCTGAATGCCACGAGTTATAAAAAGAAAATAATATCGTCGTGTTTCCCCCCCCCCCCTCTCATTCTTGTGTTGTTCTCCGTAATAATTGATCCTCGTTGGCAGAAGGCCTCGCGTAACCGGTGATGGAAAAATGGTTCGAGTAAGAAGAGGCTTTCCCCCTCCCCCCTTCGCCGACAGGAGGTCAAAGTGAAATTCCACGGAGCTGGCTAGACGGCACCAGTAGCCAGAACTTTCGCTATTAAAACCATTTCTGCTCAGAGTTGACAGTTCAGTTTTATCCAGGAGCCTGGTAATTAAAAAATAGTGCACCGTCTGTGTTCAAGTGGGATGCGTGGCTTCTGCCACGTGCTGTTCGGCAGAAGCCGTTTGGAAGCTCTCCCCGCGACGTGAAAGCAAAACTCAAGAATGCCAGGCGGGGAAAAATAACACACGATGCAAACCAGAAATCGCATCGGAAAGCTCTGCAGCACAACCGTGGAAAGCTACCCAGTAATAACAATAATTATAATACCCTGAAGTAGTAATAATTAATTATTTTAAACGATTATAAATTGTTGATTTGTGGTTGCTGGCTCATAGCGCGAGTACCACTTCTTTATGCTGTTACCTTTCACAAGAGTATTACACTTTTTGCTTTAAATGCCACGTCATAGGTTAAAGCTATTTATACGTAGCAATTTCACACGAGTAGACGGTGAGTTTTCGAATTCTGAAAAGTCAATTCCACTTTGTACGCACACGGGGCACACCCTTAAGCATGCCCCGCAAAGCGTGTTTGTCACGTGCCAATGAAACCGCACGTTTTTAGTTTTAATTCCAGAGCTGGAATATGAGCAAAATTAAGTGGTGGTGAAAAAGTGAATGTTAACAGACGTCACTGGTGACGAGACTGAGGCCATCAGCTCACTGCATTGATTGGAGAACCAGGTGTAAGCATCGCAAACAACCGCTCAGAGTTGCAGGCGAGTTCTCAGCCGTTGTCCACGCGTTCATATTCTCACTCAATGTCATTCCCTGATAGCCACCTGGCAGAGGTCGCAAACGGGTTTTGATTCCTTACCCTTACCCGTACCCGGCTGCACCAGGGTCGCAAATGGGTACCCGTACCCGGCCGAGTACAGGTACCCGGTGCCTACCCGTACCCGTACCCTACCCGAAATGAGTGACAAATGGTGACTCACCAGTGACTCACGGCCTACCCGTACCCGGCCGCACCGGGGTCGCAAACGGGTACCCGTACCCGTACCTGGCCGGGTACAGGTAGCCGGGTAGGGTACGGGTATCGGGTACCCGGTTGCGACCTCTGCTACCTGGCCTCCCCCCTCTCAAATTGCAAAACGTCGAAGACGGCCCCCACATAATGAGGAACATCCAGGCTTCTGCTGATGGCGAGAGAATCTGAATCTCCCTGGGCCCCCGTCTGGTTAGGTGGCATGTCAGTGGCCGAGTGGGTTCCACGAGGAGGTGGAACGCAAGGAGTGGGGGATGGGTGGGTGGGGGGGTTGAGAACAGAGGTCGCAACCGGGTACCCGATACCCGTACCCTACCCGATACCCGGCTAACCGTACCCGGCCGGGCACGGGTACGGGTACCCGTTTGCGACCCTGGTGCGGCCGGGTACGGGTAAGCCGTGAGTCCCTGGTGAGTAACTGTTTGTCACTCATTCCCAACGTCTTGTCTCTTCTCACAATTCAAATTCCTAGAATCAACCCACCCGCGCCTGCAACATGGCTTTATCCCAGAGGTCGCAATCGGGTACCCGATACCCGTACCCTACCCGATACCTGGCCGGGTACGGGTAGGGTACGGGTACGGCCGGGTACGGGTACGGGTACCCGTTTGCGACCCTGGTGCGGCCGGGTACGGGTAAGGAATCAAAACCCGTTTGCGACCTCTGGTTGAGAATGAGCAGGTCCAGCACAGACTCCGTTCACTGGTGTTCTTCTCTCTACTAAGCGGCAGCACACACCTTGGTGAGGCTCAACTCCTCAAGGATGACGTCCTCCATCGCCAGGTTCTTGGTAGGAATGGTGATCACCTTCAGGACGCTGCCCACACCTGCAATGCATTTTTAAAAAAATTATCATCACAATTACTGCGATCACGCGCTGACATCGTACAGCATGGAGATAAACTATTGCCAGCCAATCTTGATTTGAAGCTTTCGTGAGTGCAGGAATCCATGCTCTTTGGTTCTGTCGGTAAAGTCACGTAGGTATAAAATAAAATAAATCACGACGTTTCGGGCGCAACACAAGCGTCCATCATCAGGTGGGAAAGCGTGGTCTGCTGCTGAGGCAGACTGTTTTAAGAGGTTTGCATCTGACAGGCGTTCGGCAGACCTGACAAAGATGCTGCCCAATAAAAGTCCTTCTGATTAAACCTTGACTGGTCTTGGCGCCCGTGCGCTATGAAAGGAATTCCGACACGGGAGAGCATCACTTGTTGTACTCTTTGCCAACAGGAGTGATCACGGGCCAAATATATTCGATGCATCTCTTCCAATAACTCTTCATTCACAAGTTGAAACAAACCTGCAAAACTATTCTAATAGTGTACTATATGGAGCTAATGGGGCTCGGGGTCCCTTCAAACCTATTCACGAGCCTCAGCGTTCAAACACAGCGTGGTGCGGTGAAACCTCTCGGAGCCGGAACTCGTCGAGAGAGCGCGAGGTCACCGGGAGCAGAGCGCGCGGTAGAGCGACGCGATCGGTGAACCCGGGAAATGTAATTTAACTTTTTGACAATTAACGTCCGTGCACGAGAGAGCGCAAGGTCACCACGAGACTACGACGCGGTCGACTGATGAGCATACCGATCGGTGAACCCGTGTCCTTGGGCGTGTGAGTCTATGCCGTGCGTGCTGCTACTGATGATCTTGCACTCTGCGGTTGTATGTACGTTGAACTTCTTTCGCACCGTGCGTAGCCAAACGTGCTAAATCCTATTCTTAGGTTTTTTTGGTAAAGTCACGTAGGTAAAAAATTTAAATTAATAAAAGTAAAATAAAAAATTAACTAAAAATCACGACGTTTCGGAGGCAACACAAGCTTCCGTCTTCAGGTGGAACCGTCACAGCACGATAGCTGTGACGGTTCCACGGTAGCTGTGCTAAATCCGTTGGCATGACGAGCATACCAAGTGGTGAACTCGTGTCCAGTGACTTCATACAAAAATGCAATTTAAATACCTATAATATATTTCGCTCCCCCCTCCCTCCCCCCGCAATAAATACTTTCACCCATCGTCCGAGATAATCACGCCAATTGAGTACCCACGGCAGCCTCGAGAAGCATCAGGGGCTCCGTCAGGAGAGTCCTGATATCGGGATATTTTGGACGAATGTTTTCTTATTCATATTCTTGGGTTTTTTCGGTAAAGTCACGTAGGTAAAAAATTTAAATTATTAAAAGTAAAATAAAAATAAAATAAAAATCACGACGTTTCGGAGGCAACACAAGCTTCCGTTTTCTTTCCGCAGGAATTATTGTCATCAACGTCTTAATTAACCGGGGGGGGGGGGGTCAGCAGCGCTGTGGTGAGTGATCTCCGTTACATGAACCTGGCGAGTTAGAATCCTGTCCATGGCTAACAACAGTGGCGAGTCATATCTGAATTAGTAAGAGTGATACTGGTAGGAACCTCCTGGTTACACCAGCCCACAGAGGATTATTGTGTCCGTCCGTCCGTCGTGGTGCAGGGAGGGGCTGGGTGGGGAGGGAGGGGCTGGGTGGGGAGGGGAGGGTGGGGAGGGGCTGGGTGGGGAGGGTGGGGCTCGGTGGGGTATGGGAGGGGTGGGGCTGGGTGGGGAGGGGCTGGTCACCCCGTGGTGCCCTTATAAAACTCAACGTTTAACCTACTCACGCCGGCTTGTGCCCGCCATCACAGTCGGGCATATTTGCGGAATACACCACGCCGCCGTTGACCCTGGCCATTGACCGAGCAACCCAACGTTCCTATCAGCTCCCTCCGCAGGAATGTGCTTTTGAATTCTTAAGCAAGCTGCCACTTTACCAACCCACACTGGGCCAAAAATGTGAAATGTCATCCCGCAAGCCCCATCGCTGACACAGCATGGGCAGCCCTTTATCTTGAAATGAATTGGCGAAGGGTTGTTAAGTGTTATTAATAAGCAATACAAGTTGCCCGATCACACAAGAGGAACTCATCTTTCAATGCCCCCGAATGAGCTACAGAACACCCCCGTGTAAGCGGGAAAAGTTAATGAATAAACGTCCGTTCCACTTACAATCACGCGCCTCTCGCATGCCAGCGCTAAGAGGGGGTTCCACTAGCGCACGTGTTTCCAGTAACGCGTTGGGAGTCTGCCTCGTCAAAGAGAGGAATTCAAGGACGAGGCCAACAAGGTTCTTGCGTTCACGTACATGCGCTCGCGTCGGGCACCGCCTGGGCCGTGTACTTGTACACAACAAAAGCGGCGCCTACAGAGATGCCGAAGCAATTGGGGGGCTGGCTTCCCCTCTCCCCACCCCCCCTCACATGAGCGAGATGCCCAGCCGCTGCCTCTGCTAACTTGCGGGAGACAAAACAAGCGTCGATCGAGCCAGGGCGAATGTTGTGCACCCATTCAATGGGCTTTGTCGCGTTCGCTTCGGCAAATGGCCAATGCTGTATATCGATTTCCCATAATTCGTCTAGTTCGCTCTTTGAAATGTCTTTGGAGATCCGCCGTCGGACGAAGCCCTCCCCGTGACTGACACGTCGCTTAGAGCAGTCCGTTTCACAAACGCCGGCATGACTTGGTATGTGGTTCTTGAAATGACTCACCACTGCTTTTATGTAGCCGTAGCCAGGAATCAAACTCGGGTGGGTAGGTTCACAGAGCGGTGCGCTAACCGTTCATCTATTTATACATGCTGACTCGTTTGTTTGTGGAAAATTGTACGTAACTTTTCACCACCACGGTAATGTAATGAATTGTCACAATTCAGAGCCACATTTTCGTTCTATATTTTATCATTATTTTCATCTCGTTCTAAGTGTTCTACTTTGTGTTAACCGTCTTTGTTGCGTCTCGCTCGTTCTGCCTCATTTATATAGCCTGTCCAATTTTGACTCACTCCGTCTCTCTCTCGTTTGTATTTTTTTACGTCGTTTGTTTCATTAGCCAACGTGCAACATCAACACGAAACATTGAACTGTGATTCCTACGTACACGATTCAACGACGCGTACCGTCAGCGTAAGAATCGATTTCACGCAATGAATTGCTACGTGTCTAGGGGTTGCGATTCCTCATCATGTGTTTTATAAGGGCACACGTTGTTGTTGTTGTTTGACTTGCATCCCACTGGGATTTTTGCACACAGCGTTGGTGTACGGTGTTTTTTCTGCAATATTTTGCTGTCTTTTCTTGGATTTTCTGTTTGCACTTAGTCACATATTCACTTTAAGATGTTTTTTGTTAATGTTTTTGTTTTTGTTTGTTGCGGTTGCACCCGATTCAAGAGCCGAATGGCTCACAGGGCTATACCTAACAAATGAACTTGAACTTGAACGTGTGTACATGCACATCATTTTTGTCCGCGCGCTCCTAGATGAGCGCCTGTTCGTGAAGAAACCTCGCCACGGAGGTCGGTGCGGGTTTGTTTGAGATTCTGGAGCATTGATTGCGGGAACACAGCACGGTAACAATGATGGATTATTCTTTGGTTTTTTCGGTAAAGTCACGTATAAAAATAAAATAATAAATTAAATAATAGCATACGACGTTTCGATTGCAACACACTATTTTATTTTTATACGTGACTTTACCGAAAAAAACAAAGAATAATTCCTGCAGTCACGAAAGCTCCAAAATTAAGATTGAACAATGATGGACTTTGCTGCTGATATTGTTGGGGCGATTCGCATCGTGTGCCGCCAACACACTCGTGCTCATTCTAGATTTGAAGCTTTCGTGACTGCAAGGATTCATACTCTTAGTTCTTTCGGAAAAGTCACGTAGGTAAAAAATGAAATAAAAATTAATAAAAATAAAACAATAAAAATCACGACGTTTCGGAGGCAACACAAGCTTCCGTCTTCAGGTGGAACCGTCACAGCACGATAGCTGTATCAAGTGATACTGAAGACGGAAGCTTGTGTTGCCTCCGAAACGTCGTGATTTTTATTGTTTTATTTTTATTAATTTTAATTTCATTTTTTACCTACGTGACTTTACCGAAAGAACTAAGAGCACACTCGTGCTCAGCCTGGCGCTCACGGGGGTGCTAGCGAGAATGAGCGCTGTGATGTTTTGGCGAACGGATGCCGCAACAGCGAGGCCGATTATGTGAAATTATGGAAGGCACACGAGGTTCCTGCACGGCGTTAATTATCAAACGGCCTCCGTTGCATGCTAATGTTTTGATAGCTGTGCGGTGGCTGTTTTCAATAATGCCTTTCCTAATTAGTAGCACGCCTTCAAAGGTCGAGGCTCTAATTGTGAAACAACAACAACGTTGCATCATTAACGCTTGCTGCATTCGCCGTAGATCTTTGTTATTTGTTGTTGTTGTTGTTGTTTTTTCCCCTTTCCTGCTTCTCTTACGAGGTGTTCTTCTCGCTCAATAACAACGAGACACAAACACAGGTAAACCACAAGCCTTGGTCACTATCTTATCGCACCCGATAGCGATAAGATAGTGGTTCAGTGGAGCGATTGCTTTGTGGGCAGGGGTTTATAAATGCATATATCGATATGTTCATTGTCTTTCACAATAAATGATACATATTGTATATATCAGAATCAAAATATTTTTTTATACTGGAAAAATCCGATGTGCTATAAAGCTCTTTTTCACATGTCCAGTAGGTATATATTTTCCCTCTTCGTTAGATCCTACTTTGTTGTGCAGTGTGTTGAGATTGGGTGGAACTTATACGCCACATAAATCCACGATTCATTATATCGTATCTCCAACAAAGTAATGGCAACGTTTAGTTTTTGTAACAATGCCAGGTGCACGAGGCACGAAAAGCCTCGCCGCAAAAGGGAGTATCAGCGAGCCTTCAAGGCTCTTTGTATCACGAGGGGGGGGGGGGGGGGGCTGTGCATTGGAATGTTTGGCCAGTCCCATTGAGAAGGCGTGAGGCGTGTGGGGGGGGGGGGTTGGAGACAACCGGGGGTGGGGGGGGGGGAAGCCGAGAGAGAGAGGGGGGGGGTGACGACTAAGCACCACCAACTCCTGGCCGCTTGGCATTTGTGAAATAAATAAAAACACCCCCCGCGTCCCGCAAAAAAAAACAGATGACGAATTAAAAATGCGAAGATTTTGTTACAGCAGATATATCTCGCGTAGTGCCTGTAACGTAGCCGATGATGTAATAATGCCTCCTGTTTAGGGAATACTAGGACACTTTACACATTTAAATTGTCATTATTATTACTAAGCTAATGCCTCCACAAATTCCGAGATGGAGCGAATTTACGGCGATTTGGTCACGGAGTTGCAAAGAGAGAAACACACCGATACAATTTGGATTGAAATAAGCATAATATTTCTACAACTCCAGAGCCAAGTCCTGTTCTCTGGTTATTGTTCGTTTTTTATTGTAGCACCCTGTGGGATGAGAGTGGTGGCATTCCTAACCTCCTGTGCCATTATCAAGCGCCTGCTTCGCAAACACGAGGCGGGAGATGGGACTGGTGCTTGTCCATTACTGCGGCGGTAATCTCTTTGATGTTTTAACGTCAGCGTCTCGGACACAACACAGATAACCATCTCTTAAAATGCAGCCTCTTACCTAATTAAGAGCCTTCACTTTAACGAAAAAAAGTTTGAAAGAACATTTCAGAAACTGGCAAAAACACGTTCTTTCGTGTAAAAAAAACCTCACTTCCAGGATGTTAGCAAACCCCACAAACATTTACCACCCTGGGTCATTTGAGGCTGTGAGCTCCGTCGCCGCCGCCGCCGTGATGAATGAATTATTGTTGCAAACGAAATGTGTTTCGGATTGCAAGTGTGTGTGTGTGTGTTTTTTTTCTCGCAATGTTTTTATTTCAAATTATTACACCTACGCCACCTCCGCCGGGTGGAGGGCAAGGAAGAGGGGGGGGGGGTTGTGACCGTGGGGGTTCCTAAAGGGGCGACCGAGCTGAACTGAAGTCCGCTCCGACTGCTCGGCGCATCTTGCTCCAATTCTGCACGCTGCCCCCCTGGGGTTTACAAGCGGTGTATTTCAACCCAGCGATGAGCGCATCCCCAGCTGATGATCTCAGAGCGTGGCGCCGTCCTTCAAAAGGGGGGGGCGGTGGGTGGGGTCATCGGCTCAGCTGCCCAATTCCGACCCGTGGCAATTACACCGCGGGGTGACTGCCTGCAACAGGAATGCCCCTCGGCGCGTGTGCCAATGTCATGGGCCAATTAGCAATTCCGTTCTTTTAACGCAGTTTAGTTTTTTGGGTATTTTTTTTCATACTTGGGGAAAATTGCACAAAGGCGAGTGATATCACACGATCTTTGAAGTCCACTTTGCAGCAGACACAACGCATCGGTGATTTACCCGTAACCAACCAAACCGCCACCCCCCCCCCCCAACCCCAATAGTTAATTTGCCTTGCAGAATGTGCGTTAAACGTGGACGAGCGATGGAAAAGGAGCCACTGTGGAATTGTACGCCCGGCCTATTGTGAGCCAACATGCCAAGCTGAGCACAAGAGCGAATTTTTTATTTGGTCGTTGTTGCAACTTCATGGAACATTTTTTTTAAACCCTTCCCCTCTCTCCCCTCATTCTCTTCCCCACCACCCCCCACTCTCCTACTTGGCTTCACAAAACACTCTCAAAAGCGTCGGGGCCCTCACTATGCACCGCAGACTTTCAGGGCCGCTTTTGTTTTTGACTGGCAACCCACGGGCCGCCCAATGAATCACTCGCCCACACTCCCAGCTGCACGCCCTACCGGGACTGTCGACTTATTTGGGAGCGGAGCGAAAGAGGGGAGCGGAGCACCCCGGCCAAGTTGGCGCAGCGGCAGCAGCAGCAGCAGCAGCCACGTGGTTGACGTCGTCCTGCTTCGCTCGGGAGGCAACGGCGGCGCCGCACTGATCCGGCAACTTCCCTTTCCCGAAATGATCTGTTAATCTGATGTGTTCCTTGAGCCGAGCGAGCAAACGCGCATTCGTCAAGGTTTGTTGTTGGTGGCGCAGAAGCCCGAGGCCCACGTTTTACCAAGATCGCCTTTTGTTTAGGTGTCCCGCCCTCGGAGAGGGCACGTCTAAGGGGTGTTCTGCGAGGAGCGCGCGTTGGCGGTGGCGGCGGGAGACGCCGACTCCCGCTTGTCGCAGCGGGCGCGCGAGGGACCACGGGGTCAGCGCTGTCTGCGCTAGGGACGCCAGTTCCGTGAGGAGGGCTCGCGGACAAACGCTTTACCCCGGTTACGGGCTTTGAGGGCGCTGTGTCGTTTGAGGCAGGTGCATGTTGTTTTATCATCACACAAAGGTGGTCTGTAATACGTTACTCTTAGGTTTTTTTCGGTAAAGTCACGTAGGTAAAAAATAACATTAAAAATAACTAAAAGTAATAATAGAAATAAAATAAAATAATAAATCACGATGTTTCAGAGGCAACACAAGTTCTCCGTCATCCGGTGGGACCGTCACAGCTAGAGTTGCTGTATCAAGTGAGGCAGAGATTCCAAGATACAAGTTCTTAAATACACCCCCCCCCCCCTTAACTTGTATTTGTTACTGCATGGGAGGCGCGCTATGAACAACACGCGACGACGACGACGACGAAGTAGAGAGCGTGGCAAGGAGCGGTGCGTACTGGTTCCCATGAAGAGCACATCGTAGGGCCCGTCCTCGGCCTGCACGTGGTGCGCCACGATGCGCGTGAGCGCGTACTCGGCGGAGGTGAGCGTGAACACGGGACGCCCCAGCGCCGGCGCCACCGCCCGCGCCATCAGCGTGTGGCTCCGCGCGAAGTGCACCACCTCGTCGGGCAGCTCGCGCGTGCTCCGGAACGACGGGTCGTACGTGCGGCTTGGGCACTGCACGCACGAGCAGGCAGGCAGGTAGGGGCGGGTGGGTGGGTGGGTGGGCGTACAGGGCACGCGGAGTTGTTAAACGCCAACCAAGGCTGCTACCCGGCAAACAAAAAGAAATTGATATTGATTTGAAGCTTTTGTGACTGCAGGAATCTATACGTCTTTGGTTCTTTCGGTAAAGTCACGTAGGTAGAAACATAATAAAATAAAACAAATCACGAAGTTTTGATCGCAACACCACTTGTGTTGCGATCGAAACACCGTGATTTGTTAAATTTTATTTCTAAGTACGTGACTTTACCGAAGGAGCCAAAGAGTATGGATTCCTGCAGTCATGAAAGCTTCAAATCAAGATTAAAAATAAATCTCTTCTCAGGTTGCTGATAATTACTGAACAAGTCGGCGGTTGCTCACCACCCAAGTGAGGGTTCGGGCAAGCAACCACCCAACTGTGCAACTCTGTGGGCCTTACCTGGTCACATAAAAAAAGTTCATAGTTTAATTTTTTTTATCTATAAATTCACCAACAAAGGCAGAGCTGCCAGCTATCCAAGGAATCATGCGTTAATTTATCGACATGACCTTTGACTTATCAACTAACTATTAACTAATCAATTCACCGAACAAGAAATTGGACAACCAACCAAGCCAACAGTTAATCATCCAGTCTATGAAAATGTCAAGCAACAAAACAACCAGTTAACTTTATCAAGTAGGCAAGCGAACCTTGAAGTAACTTGCCATCGAACCGAACAGCTGTCTGACTCGAATACCAACTGTCCAATCTACAAATTAATCAACCAGCCTCCCATAGCACTTAATAACCAATTCAAGTAATTTATCCAACTGTGCATTAATGCAGTGAAATGAGAGAGTTAATCACTATGGCTAATATTTTTGTTCCAACGATTACATTTTTTGTTTGGAACAAAAATTGTGAGGACATTGAGCAGCACTTATTTTAATGTGGGGACTTAGAAGGTAATTTTTTTCAAGAGATCCTTTGGGAAAAAATAGGGTTATTGTAATGTTGTAGTTCATTATTGCCGAGTTAATTCTATTGCAGGATTTAATACAGTGCCTTGAATATGATCTCGCGAACAATTCAAAAGCTCAACAAATAAATGACCGCAGAATTAATTGAAAATAAACTCTTTATTTTCTCTCTGCAGACTGCTCCTTTTAAAAAGTTTAACGGTAGGGTGTTAATCTTGTAAAAAGGTCGAATTACTTTACATGTTAAAGGCCATAAACTTTTGTGGCTTCACGAGTTTAATGACTCAAGAGCTTAATAAAAAAAAACATGTTAAAACCTTTACTTAGAGCGCTGCTTTTACCAATCACGCATGAACAACCAAAGTCTGGAACAACAACAGACAAAAGCAAAAATAATAAAATACAAAAAACACTCCTCCACATCCAATGTCGGCAACGGAGAGGTGGTGCAGTGGTTAGCGCCCTGTCCTATGAACCTGATTCACCCGAGTTCGATCCCCACCCACTGCACAGCGTCGTTGATGAGTGACATCTGAAACGCTCACTTCACCGCCACGCATTGACAAGTCCAGTGAAGCATGGTCAAACAACCCCCATACCAACCTCCCCTTGACGCATTGACACCGTAGCGCGTTGAACTTCTTTCGCACCGTACGCAAGCCGACCGCGCCAGTCGTGCAAGCCGCACACTCACCGTGCCGGGCCTCGGGTACGGAACCTTTCCCTTGTACTCCGTCCAGCCGAACTCCTGTCCCTCCTTGTGGGCAAAGGGCCCGTTGAAGACGGCTCGGACGTCCGCGGCGTGGTACACGCACACGGCCGACCCCTGGAACACGGCGCTGAAGGAAGGTGGGCCGGGGGGAGGTGCAGGCAAAGACGCGGTAGAAAATAGACAAACACCGCCGAAACTAATCAGCGCAACGAGCGTGAAAGTACCAGTGCAGGCGCCGCTCCTCCGGCGACGTTTTGACCTTCTCGACAAACAGTTGGGGGTGGGGAAATAAAGATACAAATCCCGTACAAAGGAAATTCAAAGTAATAGCATCAGCAAGCAGCACAGAGTGATATTCAAACTGCGGTTTGGTAGTTTTGCGTGGGCGAGGTTATTCTCATGTGCACAAGTGATTTTGTCCATCTGCAGTTTTATTCAGTGCGCGCTGCAGTATCAATTTACAGAACCGTTTCTTTATTTGCGCGGAGTCTGTTTTACGTCACGCTAGATTAGGATGCTCTCTGAAGGGGAATGCGCATGGTGCAATATCTTATTCTTAGGTTTTTTCGGTAAAGTCACGTAGGTAAAACATTAAAATTAATAACAGTAAAATAAAATAAAAATCACGACGTTTCGGAGGCAACACAAGCTTCCGTCTTCAGGTGGAACCGTCACAGCCACGACAGCTGTATCAAGTAAATGAGAGATTACAAGAGCTACCACTCCGTATATATAATGGTTGGAGAGGGGAAGGTCCAAGTACGGCACACTTTTTATTAATATGGTAAGGTGAGGCTTAAGACTAAGAATAGACTGCATAACAAAAGGCTGAGCCTTTGTATGGAGAGGTACGGTTTGTGACTAAGCCTGGCCTCCGAAACGTCGTGATTTTTATTTTATTTTACTTTTATACATTTTAATGTTTTACCTACGTGACTTAACCGAATAAAACCTAAGAATATGAATCCTTGCAGTCACGAAAGCTTCAAATCTAGAGTTAGTGCAATATCTTTCCCACAGTCTTCAAGACCCTCCATGGACTCGCTCTTGCCTTCCTCTATCCACTCATCTTACGCCACTCCCAATCGCATGCTCTCCGCTCCACCGACTGAGGTCTGTTGTCGAAACCCCACGTCAACATATGCTCAACCTCAGGTTGCTTCTTCTCTCCTGCTGCCATTATTGTTCTATTATAGCCCATTAACAAGATAACACTGGTCAACAAAAAAAAAACATTTTCTTGCCTGGACTTTTGCAGCTATTTTAGACTAATTTCAGGGTGCTGATTCCAAATCTGATCTCAGATTTGCTCTATCACATCTCATTTTATGCTATCGGCATACCCCATTTTCATTGACTTTACCCGAAATTAACTCTGTCACTTATGATTGCAAGTTGTTGCGAGTCAGTGACTGCTTTAGTGATAAAATATGGTGCTGTATTTTTAGGATAGTGTGTTTATAATATCATTTTATGTAGATATCCACATTTATTAAATATTTTTCTTCTGCAGTTTTTATTGAAAATGCAATATTTGATATCTCAAAAACCTGATGTGATAGACAAAAACTGATTTGGAATCAGCACCCCAAAATTACCTTAAAACCGTTGGAATACCTTATGCCAGAAAAGATGTGTTGACCAGTGTAATAGAGGTAAGTCTGAGCCAATGGAAAAGGGTATTTGAGGCAGGAGTGCCATTCGACGATGGGATACTGTCAGGACAGATCTTGGAAGTCCGCTGAGTGTCTCCGTACAACGGCTGTGGGATCTGGCAGAGGGCAGGACTTGTCCGCCAGGTTCAGTGGCATCAACCATCACGCAAACTCCGGCCATCCTCGCTAGCGGCTTTTGACTCGGCCATCGAACAAAGACGGTCACCGCATCGCGCGCTTTCAGACGCGCTTCCGCAGCCGTCTGGAACGCTCTTCCATCCGATATTAGGAAGCCACTTGGAGGTGTGCATTTTTTTATCTAGATCGAAAACTACTTTCGTTTAGAACTGATTTTCACGTTCAGTTTGTTGCCCCCCCCCCGCACTTCCGATTAGCACACTTGCCTAAGTATGGTGCGACAAAAACGTTGAACATGCACCGCGTTATTTGATCGTAGGCTTTTCCATCAATGACTTTGGCCGATGACAGCATCTCCCAGTCACTCACTCCTTCGGCTCTCTCTCTCTCTTAACCTGGCCCCTCGCGTTCCTCACCTGGAGGTGCTGAACACGGCGTAGAGCAGGGGGTTCCTCTCGTCCTTGGTCGGCTGCAGAAACACGTCCTCTGCGAAAGGCAAAGAAAAAACCATCGGCGACAGCTCCAGCAGCAGTGCGAGCGGCAGCAGCAGCAGGGGGCAGCAGCAGCAGCAGGGGGCAGCAGCAGCAGCAGAGGGCAGCAGCAGCAGGGGGCAGCAGCAGCAGAGGGAAGCAGCAGCAGCAGCAGAGGGCAGCAGCAGCAGGGGGCAGCAGCAGCAGCAGCAGGGGGCAGCAGCAGCAGGGGGCAGCAGCAGCAGCAGGGGGCAGCAGCAGCAGGGGGCAGCAGCAGCAGCAGGGGGCAGCAGCAGCAGGGGGCAGCAGCAGCAGCAGGGGGCAGCAGCAGCAGCAGGGGGCAGCAGCAGCAGCAGCAGGGGCAGCAGGCAGCAGGTGGCAGCAGCAGCAGCAGAGGGCAGCAGCAGCAGGGGGCAGCAGCAGCAGAGGGCAGCAGCAGCAGGGGGCAGCAGCAGCAGGGGGCAGCAGCAGCAGGGGGCAGCAGCAGCAGGGGGCAGCAGCAGCAGCAGGGGGCAGCAGCAGCAGGGGGCAGCAGCAGCAGGGGGCAGCAGCAGGGGGCAGCAGCAGCAGGGGGCAGCAGCAGCAGGGGGCAGCAGCAGCAGCAGCAGGGGGCAGCAGCAGCAGGGGGCAGCAGCAGCAGAGGGCAGCAGCAGCAGGGGGCAGCAGCAGCAGGGGGCAGCAGCAGCAGGGGGCAGCAGCAGCAGCAGGGGGCAGCAGCAGCAGGGGGCAGCAGCAGCAGCAGGGGGCAGCAGCAGCAGGGGGCAGCAGCAGCAGCAGGGGGCAGCAGCAGCAGGGGGCAGCAGCAGCAGCAGAGGGCAGCAGCAGGGGGCAGCAGCAGCAGAGGGCAGCAGCAGCAGCAGGGGGCAGCAGCAGCAGCAGAGGGCAGCAGTCGCGACGACATCAACGAGAGCGGCATCGCTCAGCAACGATGCCGCAGAAAAGGGAGAATTATAATTGATTTGCGGGTTAGGCCGCGTAATGATAGAGCACGTTCTTGTTTTATATATATGAAGCCCTCGATTTTGTTCAACGCGTGGCAATAACTGTTGTTGTTTTCGTCGACCGGTAAGGCGAAGAACAATTATACCGTGTCTAATTGCTACGTTTGGATTGGCCGTGTCGGGTGGTGAAGGGGTTGCAGAGACAAAAAATGTTGCCAAGATCTTTACGTAGCCGAACGCCGAATTCAATTACGAATCACAACATCGGCTGCGAAAACCTACGACGCGTTAAGTTTAACTGCAGGAGCCTCTCGCTCGCTCGCTCGCCGGGGGCTGCGCTTTGGTGGAAACTACGCAGTGGCCGTGCACGCGCGTCACTTGCAGCGCTATGAGTTGAAGGAGAAGACGAGGAGGGAGGAGGAAGGATGAGGAAGAGGATGGAGCAGCAGGTGCATCTTCAACACGGGTGACTCACACACGAGGGTGGACCCATGACAGCCGAGCTTCTGCCACCACTCACGCGCTAATTACTCACGTTCGTAAAGCGCCCATGTGTGTGCGCGTGTGTGTGCGTGTGTGTGTGCGTGCATGTGTGCGTGTGTGTGTGTGTTCGCAAACAGCTGGACGGCTCCGACGCACCGAGAGCAACGATCGGACCCCCCCCCCTTCAAAAAATCTTCCTGCCATCGTGGAATTTGCGAATTCAAAACATCAATTTTTTTTTTTTGTACCGCCTCCCTCGACCCCGACGTCGATCGGAAGAATGCGCGCTGCCGTGCGAGCGACTCCGACGCGCGGGTGTGGGGGAACTTTCCCGGCGCTCGCGGGCACGGAGGAGGAAGGGAACCCGGCTACATCCCTGGGCGGCCGTTCGGTTACGTCCGCCGTCCGTCGTTCGGGTCAGGGACTCCCCCCCCCCCCACCCCCCGCGGGCCCATCGATCGCATGGAGCCGTCGGGTCTAGCGGTTGTTTTGACGGTGAGCAGCGGGGGGGGGGGGCGGGGTGGGAGGAGAGGTTCGCGTGGGCCGCCACTGCCGTCCAGGACACACGTACGGATCTCGTCGAAGTGAGTGTCGATTCCGTTGGGCCCCGGCACGGAGCACACGAGCCGAGCCTTGAGGAACGTCGTCCACTTGTTGATGAGGCTGCGCTGCCCGCCCATGTCGTTCTGTTCGGGGGGGGGGGAGGTAGAGGAGAGCGGGGGTATGAGGAGGACGAATGCTGCCAGCTCAGGCCGCGCGTTTTGTTTGCGGCGATGGAACGGATGCGGTGTCGAGTGTCGAACCGCGGGTTGGCATGGGCCCTGGTAGCGAGGAACGCAAGAAGAGCGCGTGTGTATTCATGTTGAAGCTCTTCACGCACCGTATGTAGCAAAGCGTGCTCATTGGAGGTGCGGGGAAATGTAAAACAAACTAAACACAACGAGCAGCTCTGAAAGAAATGAGTTTTCAATCTCGATGATTTAAAACTGCATGGCTCCAGTGGCTTCCTAATATCGGAAGGAAGAGCGTTCCAGACGGCCACGGAAGCGTGTCTGAAAGCGCGCGATGCGGTGACCGTCTTTGTTCCGTGGACTAGCCAAAAGTGGCTGCTGCGAGGATGACCGGAGTGTCACGTGATGGTCTCTGCTCCTTGACGAGATCGCAAGGTATTGTGTTTCATTTGTGGCAAGCACTTTGTGTGTACCGGTAATGAGTGCGACCTTCGATGTGAGGCCCTCTCCATGTCCAATTCCCCTCCCACCACCCTCCTAGCCGCACCTCCGATTAGCACGGTTGGCTACGTACGGTGCGAAAGAAGTTCAATATGCATGCATACTGTGCAAAGCCCAGTGCAGTCCCACCGCCTGCACCCTCCACGGCTACGCCATTAGCGGTGCACGAATGATTCTATTTCTGGAAATTCAATTCCCCTCCGATTTGGACTTTAATTGTATTTTAATCAAAATACAGCGCGGTGATCATAGCTGTTGTGGGAATTCTAATACGGGTGAGTACAATGAACAGAAGTTCTGGAGAGCGTGTGTGTGTCTGCTTTGTTTCTTTCAAATATAACGAGGGCCAGGTTAAGCTCACTTGTATAATTTGGTTCATCAGGCAAGAGTCATGAATTGTTTATATTGCAATTTTAACAATTGCCTGCAATTGTTTCGTTAACAAGTCACACTAATATATATTCTACACGTTTCGGTTGCTTTACGGGCAATTTTTCAATTTAAGCAACAAATTGTGTCGTCGTTTCACCGAAGAAGAATTCATCGCAGTTGGGCGAATTGTTTCGCTCTCTCTCTCTTTGTTTCCATCTGCGTTTATCTTCGCGCTAAACGCAAAGAAAAACGGCGGCGCTAACTTCAAGGGCACGCACGTGTTTGCGTTCGTAACGAGTTATTTTTTTTACCCTAATTTGTCACGTATTGCGCAGTACGCTCAGAGTAAAGTGGCATAACATTGCCAGGCTAAACATTGTGCTGCTTAATGCTGAGAAAATAAAACGCCGTTCAGAGTGGAAGAAATAATTACAGCACGCACGACACAAGGTGTCGCGTTCGCTGACGGGCAGGCCCACAAATGATGCAACCTCGCAGACAACATTTCTTTAAATATTCCTGATAAAAAAATGTTGCATATAGGTTCATAAATTTTCATTTTTCACATAGCTTAGCAATTTTAATCACACGTAGGTTACCAACGTGAAGGCAATCAATCTGCGGTGCTGTGACATGTGGCTCATATATATGGAACGAGTAGATGGTTTGACACGTGCACGAGGCTGGTGTGCACCCTCGCCACGGCAGAGGTCGCCAACGGGTTTTGATTCCTTACCCGTACCCGTACCCGGCCGCACCAGGGTCGCAAACAGCTACCCGTACCTGGCCGGGTACGGGTACCCGTTCCCTACCCGTACCCGTACCCTACCCGAAATGAGTGACAAACGGTTACTCACCAGTGACTCACGGCCTACCCGTACCCGTACCCGGCCGCACCAGGGTCGCAAACGGCTACCCGTACCATTACCTGGCCGGGTACGGGTAGCCGGGTATTGGTAGGGTACGGGCATCGGGTACCCGGTTACGACCTCTGCGCCACGGCCGTCACGTCAACGTGCATTTCACGCCGCGGTGTCCTACGAGCATTTCTCACTCGCCAACAAAAATTGGGGCAAAAAGTTCAATGATGTGTCTGAATACATGCAAGTCCGAGACGCTTGAAATGTCATTCTCAAGTAAAAAATAAATTAAAAAATGCCCATTCACGATCGCGCTTTTTATACTACCCACTTCCCTAACGTGTCTTAAACGTACTCCCCGAAATCATCGCAGTGCCCTGCGAGGCAGGGGTAGCAACTTACGTGCCACCCTCGGCGAACTGAGACGTTGCCGTGGTTGACGGCCACGTTTCCATTCACAATCCTCGGTGCTTTTAATTTCCTTGCTCGCCACGTCAACGTCGATAGCGTCTGCAACGTCCCCCCACAGCGCAGGCCCCGGTAAAATGTGCGCCCGAGTGACTGGAGTCTCGCGCACGCAAGCCGATGCGTCGAGACGCGTCAGAATCAATTTCGATTGACCGTGAGCACGTGCGTACGTCGAACGCGCGTGGCGCAACCGCGCTCATCGGTGGTGCGCGTGGGAAGGACATCAAAAATATATCTTTTTTTTAAAACACCACAAAAAAGCAGGTCTATAGAAATAGGTGGTCGGTGAATCTCCGCGTGCCTATTAGCTACTTCAATCGGTCTTCTTGGTTCTTTCGGTAAAGTCACGTAGAAGGGAAGTAATGAAATAATGAAAATAAAACAAAATAAAATAATTCTCACGACGTTTCGGCCACAACGCAAGCAGCCGTCCTCAATCGGGTGAGCGTAAACAAGTGGGAGGAGACACGCGGGGGGCGAGATGACAAATGGCAGGCAGGCCAGGCCCCGAGTGTATGACAGGAAACCGAGATAAAGAAGACACCAGAGGAAGGGCTTAAGGGAGACGCTTGAAGGACACGGATCCAAACAATGGGCATATGTTGAGTTTCAATTGCACAGACCCCCTTGGGTTGAACTCTGATGATTGGGAACTGCCGTCCCTCGGCGCATGGACACAGGAGTGTCCTCGGCAAAGCGCTGCTGTTCATCGCCCACCGGCGCATCGCTTCAAGAGCTGATCACGAGAGTGTGCGGTGCTTGGGACGCGTGTTAAAATAAGGGTACGGCGTCAACATTAAGTAATTGCGCCTCTTGTTTCGAAAATTGGTCCAACGGTACATTAAAAGCATTCGCAGACTTGCACTCATGACTTAATCAATACCATCATCACAATTAGCTTCTGTCAAGTATCCATTTGCCGGATGAAGGCCTCCCCATGCCGTCACGATGCCTCACAATATCCATCGCCTGCAACAGGGGCACCGCGGCGGCGGGATGTTAACTACCTCGCCTGGTATACAGGAGGTCGCGGGTTCGATCCATCGCCTGCACAAGAGTCGATCTCGTCACCTAATTTCCACCACGGCGGTTCCCCTGGTGGGCTCATTCACTTCGTCGGCTGCAATTCCTTCACAATCTCGCCCATCGGCCATCATCCTCTTGCTGCAATGTGCCCTGCCCGAGCCCAATTACTTTTCTTTACAGTCGATATGATGTCTCTGACACGCATTTGTTCTCTGGTGCACGTCTCTCTGTGTAATTCCGAGCATGCATAACATTCTTGCTTCTTCTTCTTGGTTCTTTCGGTAAAGTCACGTAGAAGGGAAATAATAAAATAATAAAAATTAAACATAATAAATACAATTCTCACGACGTTTCGACCACAACGCAAACAGCCGTCCTCAGGTGAAGAACAGGTCTGTCGGAAAGACAGCGTCTGAATGAACACCACCACGCTTGGCAGCGTATATTTAAGCTGGGTTAGAGGAGAAGGGAGCCTTGCTTCTGTGCGCACTTTTCTGCATTGCAACTTGGTACTCAAGGCGCTGCACATCACAATGAAATATATCATCGGTCAAATGGAGGAAAAACTGAGAACGTGGAAGCAAATGCAGCGAACCAAAAGCAGGAGAGAATAACTTCGCGTTGAGGAGGATTTTAAACATCGCGATTGTCTCTGATATCATTAAGCACGCGATCGATGGAAAACGCTCTTTTCTGGGTGCAAAAACGTGCCGCTTAACGTTGTGAAGTTGTTTGCATCTTTATTTCATGATGTTCATTCAAATCCGCCTTCTCAATACATTACCAAAACTCATAAATATATAACCTCTTGTTAATTGGCTGGAAACGTGACAACATAAAGAGAGGACTGCAGAGCTTGGGCTCGCCTGTGGCTCCTCGGCGATCGTGAGATGCATTCTGCATGAATGATGACCACTCGATATTAAACTCAATAAAAAATAACAAAATGTTAATTTGGTGTCCTCAACAACTGTGGTATACTCTTTGGTTCTTTCGGTAAAGTCACGTAGGTGAAAAAAAAACTAATTTAAATCACGACGTTTCGGAGGCAACACAAACTGTGGTACAGCATTCACACACACACACATACACATGTGCTAGCATACATGAATTGCATTCAATGCCATATTCATTCCTTATACTGCATAACAAAAATTTCTTAAAGGAATCAATCATTACTCCACGACTAATATTAACACGTATCTGAATTACCACGGCATTCCATACGCCGACGACATATTTCTGCAATCATTAATGCAATTCATTTCTGAAACCAAACACACAAAAATCAACATTTCAACATTAAAAAACAATATTGCCTGACTTATGGCCATTATATAGTTGTGAAATTCTCGGGTACCCTCATTTGAATTGTTAAATAAACAGCACGGGGCTATTTGGCTCATATTTCATGTTGATTTAGTTGCTAGAAATTCTGCCCAGCCGTAACATTTCACGTGTCGAAACATTGCAGGCAGTGTTACGCCACCTCCCACAAAAGCGTCTCGTTAACCCCAGAGCACAATAAGCTCCCTTTTGCCCTCCGCACAATAAATTCAGCAACGCGCCTAACGTAGATAATCGGGGCGCTGAAAGCCGTGACCGCACACAGAACCCCGTCCTCTTGATAAATCAAAGCACAGAAAGCCTTCAGCCCGTGTTAGCGTCTCCGTTTAAACATATCACGTGTGGGGGGGGGGGGGTGGATGGGGGGTTGTTATTATACGAATTAAAACAAATAAAACGAAGGATGCTGCCGCGGTGGTAACGGTTCGCACAATTGACTTGACACACGGCGGTCGCCGGTTTCGATTTGATCTCCCGGCACGGCAGGTGAAACGACGCGGCAAGTTTATGCAATCCGCCCGCCTCTGCCACACGCGGCAGTGTAAATGTGTCCACCGCGGTTAGTCAATAGAGGGGGGCCGCCACGGTGCGGGCGGGTGAAGTGTGGTTGCTCACACTTCTTCCATGGCCAGCCGCGTACGCTGCACTCAAAACTATTTTTTTCTATTTTACCAGGTAAGGCTCACTGAGCTTAGTAGTTCTTTTTTCAGAAGCAACCTGGCCACAAATGATAGCTCAACAAAGTGGCTTACCGTGTGGACATTTATAGCAGCCGAATACTCTAAATGCGTGTTGATTCGAAATGTGGAGGGGAAAAATCTGGAGGACCCGGAAAAAAAATCCACACGACCAGGGAGAGAGAGAGAGAGAGAGACACGCAAACTCAAAAATACAGCAGCAGGCGTCAGGTTCGGGATCGAACCCACGACCTCCTGCACACCAGGTGAGGTAGTTAACATCCCGAGGCCCTTCCGGCAGCAGCGGCGTGAGCAAGCAATCGCAGGGCTGCGCCTTGACCCGACGAATAGAAGAACAACTCCAAATTCACGAAGCCAAGAAGCCACTGGGTGAGAGAGGCAATTTTGTTTTGTTAATGCGGCAAAACGGCAAGGCCGGACTGGCACGTCGCCACGATCGGCGAACGCACGCCTGGCTTCGGTGGCTGCCGTCATTTAATCAAAGTCTTAAGCAGGGCTCAGCTACAACTTGCAGACGAACTGCAACATTTGGAATGCTTTCAAAAATACCCTTGTGCATTTTGTCATGGTTCGAGTAATAAAAGGGAGCTCAGCTGCATCCGTATTGTGGCTGTGATTTGCCATTAGGGAATAGGCGGAGACACAGAAAAAATAGATTTTTTTCCAAACAAAAATTAAGCGTGAAGTACTTATTGGAAGCCAGAGAGCCTTCGCGTGTTTAAGTATGCGGCGACAGCTTTCATTTTGCATTACTCATTTACCCTAACCACATTTGAGCTATAAAAATATATAAACGTTTTGCGAGTCATTACATTAGCACTGTAATACACATATATTCTCTGCGGCTAATTTGCAATATGACATTTTTCGTTGTTAACTGGTGAACAGGCCTGAGACCATCAAAACTTCTCCACCATGGTTATGACGCCTGGAAATCAGAATCACAGCACAATCAGGTCTGCAAATTTAAAGTTCCCAGGTGCGTGCTGAGGGCAGAGCCAATGAAAGTCGATAGGATATTTGCATTTATGCCTTGACTTTTTTAAAATGTGGAATGTTTCATTTCGCAAGTTTTTAGTTTCCTAGCTCTGCTCCACATTTTATTTCCCAGAGTTCTTTGCCTCAGAAATGCGTGGCAGCTAAATTCCTTCTCTTGCAAGGTTAATTGAGCCAAGAAATGCATTGCCAGGGTAGGGTTGGGCCTTGTTTGTGTGTCCTCAAAAGAACAACACTTCCCACAATGCATTGTGCCAGCAACATTTTCTAATTAAACGTTGAACATAATTGAGTTTACTTAAGTGTGATTTATTATCGAATGGTTGTTTCTGGTACTCAGTAGCTACTAATGGCTAACTATTTGCGTACCAATCAAAAACTATTAATCATAACATCTTTGAAAAATGTAATACTCATGGTGTTAAGTGCAGTCTCCACAATCATTGTTACTCTCTGGCCTCATTGTTTCTCTGCTATTAAAAAGGACCATTTCCTGAAATGTTGCCGATTATGTTTTTTTGAGGTCACGGTGATGTTACTGATTAATAAATTTGAAATTTTTCCCAATTTTTTTTTATCGCAGACATAGATGTTGATTCATAAATATTAAAGCTACAAGTTTGTTAAATGACTATGGACAGAATTATTTTAGGAGCACACAAAACGAATTAGAAAATGAACACAACAACAGGGGGTCAGGGATGCTGTTGTCCTCAAAGCAAAAGATAATCCAGTGGAAATGGGCAGGAGGCCGCGTCATGAGAAAGGCTGACGAGAGGCGAGAGACGAAACCAACTATACGGAGTGGAGACCGAAAGACGGAGCAAGCAGTAGAAGGGAGACGGCGCAAGAAACGACAGCAGCGAGGCGACAGAGTTCGGAGGCCACGAATCAGAGAGAGGAGCAGCTGAGGATTAAAAAAGGAAGAAACGGGAGGGAGGGAACGAAAGAGGATATTTTTCCACGTGTGCATGTATGTTGAACTTCTTTTGCACCGTACGTATCCGACAAGTGCTAATCAGGGGGGGGGGGAGAAAAATGGCATCAAACTAAACACAAAAAAGCAGTTCTCAAGAAAATTAGATCTAAAAGCGCGCAGCCCCGGCGACTTCCTGATATCGGATTGAAGAGCTTCGTGGGGGAAGCTGTCCCCTTACTTTGCAGACACGCGCCACCCGGGAGAAGATTGCCTTTGTGCCGCTCGCCTCCATGGCCGTCTCGCGGAAAAACACATACACCTTGTCGTCCTCGCGGCTGCTCGTGTCGGGGAACGCGAACACTGCCACGAACTTGGGATCTGTCGTCGTACAAAAAAGAGACACAATTAAGCACGCCTTGCCGTGTAAGCGTGCACGTGTCGCGGGCCACTCTGCACCCAATCCACCAAATCGTCCGTCAAATCGTGAGCGACGTTTGGCCCCGCGTCGCCACGCCGGTCAGCGCGCCGGTTATTTTGACGGTGATCCGCGTCGAAGTACGCTACGACCATTGGATTTGTTTTTTGTTTGCGTTGCTCTCTGCTGCTCGCAATGCAGCCGCGCAACGCTATATAGAATATGATGCATTGTGGTGGTCGATTCGCACATTCACGGTGCGATCCATGCTCAAGCTGCTTAGCTTGTGAGATCCGAAAGAGACTGGGGTGTATTCTGGGTAATTTGGTCATCACCTTTACGTAGAATAACATAGCCGAGTGGGCTATCCTCTGCTTAAATGAAAAATACCGACTCATAAAAGCAACCTGGCAAGCCAGTCCATTCAGGGAGCCTCCTTTGTTTTGTTAGGGGTTTCAGAAAAATGCAACCACATCCACAAACGGACACTCGCCAGAGGTGCACACGTCGATAGCGAAATGCTCGCAGCCACGCTAATCGCACTGGCTCTCAGTGTAAAGTTAAACAAAACGACGAATAGATCCGTATGTCATGGAAAATCTTGCGTAACAGAAAAGATACAAATCTGGGCACTTGTAGAGGTGAGCGAGCGTAGGTGTGGGAGGTTTTGTCGTCATTTGTTCAGTGTTTTTGTATTTGTTTGTAAGCGATGCAATCTGGGGCAGATGGACTACCAGATAGATGAACGAACGGACAGACGCACAATTTGCAGTGCATAGCAAAAAGCAGCCAATTGATTTTTTTTCTCAAAACGTTTGAGAATTTAAAATGTTTAGTTGCTTTCCGACAAAGGCAAGAAGCGCTTAAGCGCTAGCTCCGTGCATCCGTCAGCCTCGTCTGTAACATGACCTCGCCATAACACTTTGAAACGTGATTCAGGAGGAATACAGCTTGGGTATCAAGTTGCGTTATTATTGTTAGGGACTTGCCCTCGAGAAAACCGGCCCACGTTTGATTAAGTGGTTGCCAAAAACGTGGACGGCACAAACCGGGAGCAAAACTTCACGATTCGCAAATATGCAAAAGGTCTTGTGGCCTCAGAGCTAACCTGTCAGCTTCCATGCCGATAATTATGAACTCCGTCCGAAGACAAACGCATCTTGAAAAGCGTCACGCACTCCGCGCGTTACGCACGCTACCCCCCCCTCCCCCCGCTCGTTTTAAATGTTGCTTGTTCGCATATTCCTTAAGCGTTCTTTTAAGTCTGCCATCGGCAGCACGAGAGCTGACCGTGCCGTGAGAGTTGATCGCGCGTGGTTGATTTTGTTTTGGTCCTCTATCATTCCGAGTTCAATTAACCCGAGGACCATCCATAGCGTGTCATCTGCGTCTGAGCTTACAGAGGTCCCCGTCAGATGCGCGTCTCACCTGCGCATTCCTGCAGAGATTTCAACCTCCACTCTGCGCCCACGCTGATCCTTCGCACACTCCCCTTCTTTATCTCCGCGCGACATTTGACAACAATCTCGAAAGCCGAGATGCTTCTCTGGCAGAGGAATGCTAACTGGGGTTGAAACAGTCGATATTTGAAATCTCAGCAGGGCGTTACTTTTTTGTTTGTTCCTTTGGGGATTTGTCACGAAAAAAACCAAGCTTTTACATTCGGTACAAAAAAAAATGGCACTTGTCAATTCATACGACACCCAGAGAGGTAATGTTTAGGGGTGAATTGTAATCACCAGAAATGGCATTGCACATTGTGTTTTCGCGTGATGAGCGATGTAAAGTACTCCACTGCCCACTTGCATGTTACTCACCCGCGTCACCGAATGAAACTAAACTGAACAGACAACTTTCGTGGGGTTTTTGTTTTTAAAATAATTTCCTTTCTTTTAATTAAACGTTTGAAACCAACATCCAATAACAACAAAGCAATCTGTGAAACTCACAGGTTTAAGAATATGTAATTATTTGTTTAACAAATATTTAATCTATATACAATGGTAAAGTCACGTAGATGAAAAATAAACATAATAACAAAATAATAATAAAATGAAAATAACTAAATTCATTTTATTTGTATTATTTTTTTTTTTCCATCTACGTGACTTTGCCGAAAGAACCAAAGAGTATGGATCCTTGCAGTCACGAAAACTTCAAATCTAGAACTATATACAACGCTCGTGCGTAGATATGTATCGACTCATTGTACGCGTACAGATCCTGTGCCAATCAACTGCTGTGGGCGGTGGGAGTTATTGACCAAACTTCACCTGCTGGTCTTGGTGGGGAGCATCGATGTAAGGCGCATAGAAGCACAGTACAACAGTAGATTTTGCTGCACTGCTCTCTTCCGCCCAACACGTAACGCCGCAGTCTATAACAACTGTGATGCATGGTGGTCAACCATTTTGCGAGCTATCTCAGCTCTACTCTGCTTAGCTTCCGACATCTGACGGAACTGCGTTCGTTCTGACATCTGATGGCACTGCGTGCATTCTGTCATCTGACGGGACTGCGTGCATTCTGTCATGTGATGGAACTTCGTGCATTCTGATATCCACTGCGTGCATTCTGTCATCTCACGGGACTGCGTGCATTCTGTCATCTGACGGGACTGCGTGCATTCTGTCATCTGATGGAACTTCGTGCATTCTGATATCCACTGCGTGCATTCTGTCATTTGACGGGACTGTGCCTCCTGACATCTGACGGGACTGCGTGCATTCTGTCATCTGATGGAACTTCGTGCATTCTGATATCCACTGCGTGCATTCTGTCATCTGACGGGACTGTGCCTCCTGACATCTGACGGGACTGCGTGCATTCTGTGCGATTTGGCCCCAGGGCTTACATTTACGCCAAACAGGTCGCTAGGCACTACGTGCCTGAGGAACATAGCCAAGTGGTTATAGACCCTCGGACTCATTACTGTAAATTAAAAACGAGAGCTTTAGCGGAATGCACTGCCACTGTGCACATTCTATCATTTGTCTGACGCCAATCAGGGCGCGTTAAAGGGTTCCAGACCGGCAGCAGCGCGTGCACGAGCGACGATTCTCCGGGGCACCGCCAGGAATCGGCCGTGCGTGGGTCACGCGGCCACCGCCGTCTCACCGTTGAGCCAGCTGGCCTCGTGCTGCTCCGTGCGGATGTAGTTCCCCGGGCCCAGGCTGCGGCTAAACGTGGGCTCCTTGCCCATGAAGTCCACGTTGAGCCCGGCGAACAGATGGCCGTCTGCGAGCAAAACACGTCGGCGACGGTTGTTGGGTGAGCACGGCTGGCGACGTACGGCGCGAAAGAAGTTCAACGTGCGTGCGTGCGTGCGAGGCGGTGGCAACTGTAAGAGAGAAATCCACACCCGCGATTCGCCGAGCGACACAAACCGCGGTGCGGGTGCACTCCGGGGTCGGTGCACGGCGGCACCGAAGCAATTCGCCGGCTCAGGGCCACCGGCGGTTGAATGGCCGACGAAGCCGGCTATCGATTTGTGGCGTTTGTTGCGGTTGCAAAAAATTCCGTTGGCCCATCCTTGCAACGCGACACTGCAGGGCGTGTCGACCAGAAAGTATGCACCATCTGCGGTGGTTGTTATGGGTGTTGAAGATCACGTGACATTATTTATACATGAGTTTGCTTTGTTAAGAGAAGGTCGCGTGTGCCAGCGGCACGGTCCAAATGTGGCCAATTAGCACAATTATGTGAAAATCACTAAGTTTGGTAAAACCACATCGCAACATCGCCTCCCACTGGCAGACTATAACCGCCTTCATGATGGCCTTGCTCTATATAAAAAACAAAGAATACTCGAATACCAAATGCATTATTCAACGGTCTTGAAACAGCCAACGTTCCAGCCTGGAAAAACAGACGACCATCTGCACAAGTGGACGTAAGTGTTTAGCAATTAATTTGATAACAGTTGGGGGAATAACCTTGGCGCTTGAGGCAATATTATTTCACCACGAATTATTGTAACAATAAACCTCCCCTCCCTCCTTTGTCAACGATTCCATCCAACCATGAATATGTGCAACGATGAGGACAACTCTAAAGCGGTCACCACGTGAGATCGATCACTCTTTCCTCTTGACGTCGGGTTATGAGCGATATCACCATGGCTATAGGACACACACATTGCAGCGTTACAAAGCCAGAACGCCGGCTTATGCCCCTTCTGCAAGTAATGGAAATCAGCCACGTCCAGTGCAGCGTTACTGCCACATCTGAACTTCACCTAAAATGACCAAGAAGAGATCTTTCACGCATTCAAAAAAATATAATTTTGGTCCTCATTTCCTCCGACGGGAAAAAAACGTACCATTTCAACGTGTTATCCCGGGCTTGATTTAATTTAATCGGAAACGTCGTCGTTGTTGTTGCCATTGTTACTGCCGCGTGGTTTTATATTCTGTGCGCGGTGTTTAATTGCCCCCCCCCCCACACACTTTTAAAATAAAATGGCGAACAGATGTGTGGGCTGCGTGGCCAAAGCAACTGCGGCAACACCAGAGCATTAGCCAGCACCACTGGGTCCATGGGTTTCAATTCCGATTTCGAACCCCCCCACCCGCTCCCCCCCTCCCCCAGCGTTAAGCTGAATTCTTGAACGTAGCGTATTCACACTCTAAGCCTAGACGCCAACACATGGACTCCCTTAGTCTGCCCAATGTGGCAATTGAATGGACCTCAGAAATAGTTCTTTAATGTCACCTTCCAGAGGCTGTTGTCACTGGTGACTGGGCAGAGGCCATCAGCTCACTTGAGTTGAGAAAACAAGCTTAATCAGCGATGGCTGCCTGGATTTAAACTCGGCTTTCCAGCGTTGACAGCTCAGCGCTCTACACTGCCGCCATAATCTTTCATTACTCTCTGCGAGAGTTCAGCAATGTACATTTAGTGCATCTCAAAACGCGCAGCTCACGGCACATTTTCAATGCAATTAAGCAGAAGACGTTAGTTACTGCAGTTAGTTACTGCAGCTACATACTATTAACATTCCTTCCCTTTATTAATGCTACCCCTATCCCCTCCCTTTGATGCTGCTAATCCTGCATAATGCACGGGCATAATATGACTTTGAAACCCCCCTTCCACCTCCTACGCATTTCACAAGTAGTGACTAATCCCATATCTGCATTTCCCATAAATATGCTAAATTCCTCTTGATATGCAAATTATTTTGTCAAGGCACTCTTCCCCCTCCAACCCAGCTTAAATATACGCTTCCAAGCCTGGTGGTGTTCATTCAGACGCTGTCTTTCAGACAGACCTGTTCTTCACCTGAGGACGGTTGCTTGCATTGTGGCCGAAACGTCATGAGAATTATTTTATCATGTTTTATTGTTATTATTTAATTGTTTCCCTTCTACGTCACTTTACCGAAAGAATCAAGAAGATGAATCCCTGCAGTCACGAAAACTTTAAATTGAAAAGAAGACGAACCGTTGCATTGAATATGGGACTTAAAAAACCGGTTTTCGATACTGGAGACCGTCATAAGTCTGTGCCTTCCACTGTAGGGTCAGTGTGCTGCTCTGAGGCTTGTGAAGAGTGGCAGGGAGGAACTGTGTGTGTGTAGGTCGCCGGTCTCAGGCTCCGTACCTGTGATCAGGGAGACCGTGTTCTGCTGAGGATCATAGGGGCATCGGCCACGACCAGACTCCATGTGCTGCGCGTCCAGACTAAACACGGGCTCCTGCTTGATGATAGCGATGGCGAGAGAAAATAACCGCGAGGATAACGTGTTTAGCGAGCATCGTTTTACGTGCTATGAAGAAGGCCCATTGCCTGAAACGTCACCTATTACATATTTGGTTCCTTTCAACGCAGTGTTAATTGTTCTTGTGAGCCACTGCCAATGAAGCATTACCAAGTGAATTGGTTAATTATATTTCGAGGCCACACAACACGGCTTACCACGTTTCTCCCGCTAGTATGAGGACGTTTGGTAAAGTGTCCTTAGTTTGGCATTTGCACCGGAACCCTAAACTTGTCTTGCTGCAGCAATATACAGTTCTAGAACATCCTGGTTTTAATTTAAAACTAATTTTTTTTTTTATTGTTCGTAGCAATCACGCGCTTGCGCCTTAGCAAGCGCCCAGGCTGTCTCCATGTCGTGGTGATCGATTATCCGAACTGTGCCGCCGCTACAAGGCGCCGTTGCGAGTCAGACGCTCGCATAAAACGTTAATTTTCTTATCGCAATATGCGGAAGGGGAAAAACAATCGTGAAGTGACGACAATTCGTATTTCGGCATTTTGTGACAACCAGAGGTTAAGATATTCCGCTCGATGTATATTTGCGGACACGCTTTGGGCGAAGAAGATGGGAAACCGCGTGAACAGATTATTTGGCGACGATGCGGCGTAGGCAGTGTGGTGCACACGCAACAATGAACACAATACTCTGCAGTACTCTAGAGGCAGTGTTGTTAATCAGTGTGTTGAGATATATTTGCACAGTATATAATCCCTGACCAATTATATACTTCTCCCTGTGGAAAATATATAAAATACAAGGCATCTAGCTTAAAATAACAAGGACCGCTGGCATAATAACAACCCAGATTAATGAACGATTAAGACAAATTAATACAAAAAATTACAACAGCAACCTGTTTATGTTACCGCACGGTTGGCTACGTATGTGCGAAATAATTTGAACATACATACATACAATGTAACAGCAAGTAAAGAATGCAATTCAATTTTATTCAGCCATGGGAGTTACATATGTAAGCATTCATGCACATTGGACAGAAGTTCCGAGTTATATTGTCAAGAGCTTGTGGCTTCGTGCAACTTAAATGAGAAAAACTGCAGGAACGCAACTGCCATAGAAATTGGCTACGATTTACTAAACCCCGAATGGACATTATACATCGGGGAAAAAAAATAACAACCGACTCCTTCTTGTTAATTTAGGACGCCGTATATAATTCGGGAAAAATTAACCCGAGGACCATCCACAGCGTGCCAAACGCATCTGGGTCTGAACTTACAGAGGGCCCCGCCAGATGCCGAGTCTGCCGCATGAAAAGCAACCGATCATTCAATTGCCTCAATTGGCTACACTTGACAGGGAGACACAGTCCAGCAGATTTGCCAAGCTGGAGTCGACTTCATGGCAATGAAGTCGTACGCACGTAAGCCCCTTTATCCCATTGGCCAATGCAATAATTCCCTGAATGCTGAGCAGGCATTGGCCCACATCTAACGCTGCTGCCACTGCAACACAAACGGCCGTAGCCTAACCTGGGGGGGCCTTGAACAATTACGCTTGCAACACGATTGGGGAATTGAACTTGCTTTCAAATAATAAATAATAAAACGTAATAAAATACAATTCTCACAACGTTTCGACCACAACGCTTCGGCCACAACGTCGTGAGAATTGTATTTTATTATGTTTTATTTGTATTATTTTACTATTTCCCTTCTACGTGACTTTACCGAAAGAACCAAGAAGACGAATCCCTGCAGTTACGAAAGCTTTAAATCGATAGTTGCAACCTGTTTAGCGCAGGCAGCTTTTCAGGGGCGAGTGCTCTTACTTAGAGAGCATTGATGTAAGGCCGACGCAGCATGTGACTGGGTGGGTGGCCAGCACCACGCTCGGTCGCATTTGTCTCCCGAGTGACCATGTTCACACATGGCACCAGGCACTCATTTAGAATCAGAATCTCTTTTTAGATTGGAGGAATCCGATGAGCTATGAAGCTCTTTTTCAAACATGACCGATGCAGATAATCGTCACTGGTGTTGAGAGCGAGCGTGAATCGAACTCGGGTCGCCAGGTTTGTAGCAACTCCGATCAGTACGTTTGGCTACGTACGGCGCAAAAGTAGCTCAACGTACGGGCACACAACATACACGCGTACGTAGCGCAGCCACGCGCACCAAACACGTACGCAGCAACACACATGCAGCGCTTGTGCCCTCTGCGGTGAAACAACAGCGACTGCACTACGGCAGACTGCCCACGTGGGTGGGTGGGTAGGTGAGGAGGGGGGAGCACCTCAATCCTGGAGCCCATGTGCACGAAGGCGCACACCGGGTAGAAGGCGCCGGTGCCGCACGCGTACACGTGCGTCCTGTTGTAGTGGTGCAGCACTCGGACAAAGTTGGCGCATTCTCCCTGCGGCGGTCGCGGGGGGGGGCGGAGAGGCACGGTTAGGCTCGAAGCCGCTGCGAGCAATGGAACTTGCAGCAGCTGCGTCGCGAATAAACATCGATCTCCGAATCTCGAATCAGCTCGAGTCTCTCGTAAATCACGTGACTTTTGCGTGGCCGCCCCACGCTCTGAACATCTCCGCTCTCCCCTCTCCCCGCCCACTTTGAAAACAGACGCTGCGGCGTCGAGGCCCTAATGTAGCCTCTTCCACCATACCCTCGCTTTTCCTGCTGACCATTTGGTCACCATTTTCTGGTTCCTTTTCCATCCTTTTCCTCTTATTTCCAATTCTTTCAGCCGCATCACCTCTACATAACAAAAGGCTCAGTCCCATTTACACGCACCTTTACATCATCCGCACCTAGTTTACACAACAAAGGCTCATTCCTAACAGCGTGCTTCAGCCGCACCGAACCTCACAAAAATAATATGCAGGGCCCACCTTGGCTCCTCCCACCCTCAACCAGTATATATACAAGGACTGTTTTCTTGGAATTTCTCTAACTTGATACAGCTATCGTGCTGTGACGGTTCCACCTGAAGACGGAAGCTTGTGTTGCCTCCGAAACGTCGTGATTTTTATTTTATTTTATGTTTATTTTACTTTTGTAAATTTTAATTTTAATTTTTCACCTACGTGACTTTACCGAAAAAACCTAAGAATATCTTTCTCTTCTCTCGTCAGATTCGCGTTCCTTTTTCTTTTTCCATTTATTGCATCCTTAATCCTACTCCTTTTCCCGCGGTTGCTCGTATTAATACAATCATTGTTTATTATCCATAATTAACCTTGATTTGAAGCTTTCGTGACTGCAGGAATCCATACTCTTTGGTTCAGGTGTGAAAGCAGGTTTCCCACCTTTTAATGTTTCAGCTCACCAATTGGTTGAAAGCAGCTTTCCCACCTGATGACGGACGCTTGTGTTGCGCCCGAAACGTCGTGATTTATTTTATTTTATACCTACGTGACTTTACCGAAAGAAACAAAGAGTATCCATAATTAACTTTTGGATTAGACCACATATTTATCTGGCAAATGTTGTGTCAACGCAGCCAAACAAACTAAATTGTCACACACACAAGCATTTCATATGCCAGGTTTTAATGTTTCAGCTCGCCAATTGGTTGAACAATAATTCTCACGACCAAATGTAGCATTTATATCCGAGGTTTTGTTTGTAACTACATGTAATCGTCATCAGGACAAATCCAGGAATTCAGAACAAAAAAGTTACGAGTCAGAATAATTTAATTCTTTACCCAGGAAAGCCTCACTCATTTTCAGGAGGTTCCTGCGTTTTAATTTCTTCGCTAACATCGATTGCATTGTATATTTTGAGCTCTCGGAGGAAATTGAAAAAACACAGTGGAAATCCATGCAGAATAGGGGGAGAACTTGCAAACTTCACACTAAATTGTGCCTGGGCCAAGAACCGAACCCAGGCCCTTCTTGCTGTGAGGCACGAGCTTTACACCACCACGTCACTCTGTCACCCTGATGGACTTCGCAGGTAATAATGCACTCGTTTCTAGATGTAAACGGCTTGTGACATTCGTGGGACTCGCGTAAAATCATGAGTGCACGAGTCTATTATCTACGATTCATTCAGGTAACAAAAATATCTGTTGTTACATTGTTTTGAAAATGCATTGCACTTTGAAAAAACTCGAAAAAAATGTTGAGCTACAGCGAAAGAGTCACGTAAAGGATAGTCTGACAAACCGTAGATGCATTTACGAGGTAGACGAGGCTCTTTCATGATGTATATTTATATTGTTATAAGCCCCTCAGATTCATGCCCCAATCGGCGTTCCCAATTTTCGTCGCTCACATTTAACATCTCGCTTTGAAAAACGGTCGACGCCCTTGCACGTGACAAAGACCCCCGTATAGCCTACAACAGACTGTTGGGGCAAGTGCTGTTAGCGAGCAGCTATGAAGGCCGGCACGGCACACGAGGGGGTGGGAGGCCAGCACCATGCACGGTCGCCTGTGTCTCCCCAGTGGCGATGTTTACACACCGCACCAGGTACTAATTTTGAAGCTGAGTCGACCTAGGGGAGGCCCATGACCGGTTCAGATATTCGTCACTTGTGTTGGCCATGAGCGGGTATCGAACCCAGGTCGCCGGGTTCACAGCGCAAGCGCGCTGACCGCTACAGCGCTTGTGAATGCACACACACACACGCGTGCGTGCGTGCGTATCACTCGTATAAACTTCCACCGGACACATTTGGGTGAAATTAATTTGCGTGTTTTTTTGTTTTTAAAACGACGAAGCCTTTCTGCTGAACACAACTATCCTATGAGTGGCTCTGAGAAATGTACAAAGGGGGGGGGGGGGGGGGCGCGACCCACTCTCGCTGCTTCGCGTGAGCAGAACAAACGCGGCTTGCGGGCATGTCAGCTCCCATTTGTCTTTTAGCGCGAAATAATTCTGCCCAAAAAAGCAATTGACTCGGCTGTCATTGTGTTTGGCGAGCGACTTATTCAGTCGCTCTGTTGCGTCCATTCAGGAGGTCCCCTCCGCCAATATCGAAACGCCTTCCCAGCCGCGGCGCGCTTAACCCAAAGCTTTCATTTCACTTACAAATCGGTGTAATCCTTGCCGATCTCCGGCAAAGCCACGTTATTTCTGTCAACAAAATCCGAGATTCTTCCACCCTGCCCTGCTCTGCTCTCCCCCACCCCCCGCTTCGTTGTGACGCTCGGAGGCTTTGGGAACCGTCCCCCGACAAAGGGATGGACACGGCACTCACCTGAGGATCTTTCCCCGTGAGCTTGCACATCTCCACCCTCTCCTTGGACGGCGGCCAATAGATCTGTCGGAGATAAGGCACAGACGCAAGGACAAAGATCCCCCGGGTAGCCGGCCAGACGGCCAGGGGCAAACCGCTGAATCCAGAAGCTTTAGCTGCGTTCGCTCAGTAAGTGTCTCCCACGTGGCCACTGTGAACCTGCCGTGGTAGTTGAACCCAGCCACCATTAACGAGCGGCTATTAAGTCTCGCGTAGACTAAGTGTGGGTCATGTGGTATAATCACCGCCACACTTTTGTGTCCCTGGTGTTCGTTTTACGCAACGCACGAGCTACTGATTTTAAGGCTGAATCATCCTAGGGTAGGCATGGGACGGATTATAATATTACCTGCTCTGAATGTTCGTCGTGACGGGGGAACGGAACTCGGGTCGCCGGGTTGGGTAAGCCCAGTGTGCGCTGAACACAAACACTGCCGTTTCAACACATGCACACGCGCGCGCGCCTATGTGCACGTGCCCACATACCAGCGCGCGTGCACAGCGCTTGCACAGCCGTGCACACCACCACCACCAGCAGCCACTCACACGTGTCAACAGCCACAGAATAGTGGGGGGCTTGGGTGGCAAAATCACGGGACTGCAAAAACAGCATTTTCAACTATTGCACTGGAGGCAATAACACTCGGGCCCTTGTTTAAGATAGAATGTAATCTGAATTGATTCAATAATAACTGTGACCGTTACGATTACAGTGTTAATTTGAGTTTGCTTACGTATATATATACATTTAATTTGATTATGTATTTATTACAGCTACAAGCCCTACCGCTGAGCCAACAAGGCTCAGCGGTGGTGTGAACGGCTCACAATCAGAAAGCTCCGAGTTCGAATTGAGGTTGGGTGGTTGACTCAGCCCATCATCCCTCCGGGGTGGATAAAATGAGTGCTAATTTGTCGGGAATGCAACAGTGGCAAAAACGCAGACTTTAAACACTTTACCAAAGTCATAATTTACTTAAATGCTGACTCACGTGTTTATTATTACGAATGATTCAAAAATAAATAATTAACCACTCTCATCGTCAAAGCACAGACTCGAGACGTCGTATGGACCGTCAAGAAGAGTAAGCGGGCGAGTGCAAGACACATCGCTCCCAGGAACGATGGCCAGTGGCTGAGACTCGCTACGGGATAATTGATAACATCTCCATGATTAGAACACATTCGCAACACTTTCGGGTTGCCGACGTTCCATTGCCTCTGAGAGTTTCCACATTGCAAAACAGCTCTTTCCAAATCGTCGGTTACAATTCTCTGGCGTGTTTCGGACAAGAATCGTTGCTTCGACATCATCGATGGTGGTGCGCTTACAGCCTGTTGTCACCCTCTAACGTTCCCATGAAGTGTTTTTTGTTTGTTGTTCAACGCATCTTGGATCACAAAAGAACCCACAGAGATTAATTCCACCTGACAGCTGCCCGATTTAACAGTGAGCAACAACAAACATAAATACATATTTATTTTTAAAATAATGAAAACCAAAAATCATTTCAAGTGGCGCTATTTATCTTACTTGGGAGGAGAGGGAGAGGACAGAGGATCTTCTTTTCTTTTGAGGTTTTTTTTCTTCCTTTTTTTATGGCCACAGGGGGATAGAAGAGTTGCGTTGCAGGGCAGAGGTTAAGTATTTGGTTAGCCCTCGCTTTTTTTGCTACTTCTCTTTCGCAGACAGTTGTAAGGCGCTAAGAGACGCGGACCATTTTGACGCTCGTTCTTAACGTCACACGAAACAAAAATGAAAAATCGAATTAAAGATTAAAAACCTCCCTCCAGTCCGCAGGGAAACAGAGAAACGTCGAGAGCCGGGAGAATGTTGATTGCGTGAAAAGTAAAAAAAAAAGTATACGTCTGACGGTTGCGTTGGACTTCATGCAGGCGGGCACACAGCCAGGCCATACGCACACGTGTACCTCCATTTGTGTATTCTTAAAGTTTTTTCGGTAAAGTCATGTAGGTAAAAAATTGTAATTAATAAAAGTAAAATAAAATAAAAATCACGACGTTTCGGAGGCAACACAAGCTTCCGTCTTCAGTTGTTGCCTCCGAAACGTCGTGATTTTTATTTTATTTTTATTTTACTTTTATTAATTACAAATTTTTACCTACGTGACTTTACCGAAAAAACCTAAGAATATGAATCCTTGCAGTCACAAAAGCTTCAAATCTCCATTTGTGTGTTTCCAATGCACTCAGGCGCTCCGTGCGAGCGCCACGGCCAAGGTTGTGTGTACACACTGAGGCTCCTCGCTCGTCTTCGACTCAAGTGGCTTCAGCTCTGGTCTGTGTCCGCGACGAACCCTGCAGCGTGAAGCGCTCTTGGTGGTGGCGGTGTTATTTATTTGTTTCGTTTTATTTTTCGCTGCCGCGTTTTGCCCGTCTTCGCAGCCGAGATTAAACACGCCGCTTTTTTGGGACCTGTCATCCATAGCTTGGGCTTCCATTGCGCACACACACGCACGCACACACACACACGACACACGCACATATATATAGTGTGCGTGTGTCGTTTTTTCCTTGTCAATAAACCCTCGTAATTAGATTTTCTCTTTGAAGCGGTTTCAAAGTTAGAAGCAGTTTAGCCTCGAATAGCCAACACTGACAAGTAAGAACAAACTAAAACTCAAAGTAGTTTCCTGCTCAACTTAGAGTGGTGTGACACACTCCTCTCCTGTTTACTGCTCTGAACCAGTGGTGGAAATTCCACATGCCTATGGTTGGGGGTGGGCTAGTCTTTCCATAGGACAAACACTGCCTTTCTTGCTTCCCGACAAAGTGGCACTCATTGTACCAACAGCAAATTGGTGAAAAGTTGAGTCGACCCCTGACCTGGAGTTGAACTCACAAACCTTCCGATTGGGCAGAGTTGAAAAGAAAATATTTGCCCTCTTTTTTTTGTTACTTACATAAAAAAAAGCCTTCACCAATCCGCACTGACCGGCGTGGTGAAGTATGGTCAAACAACCCCCATTAGCCGGCATAGCTTGGGAGGCCTCCATTCATCAGTGGATTAACAATAGAGCCGTATATTATAATAGTTATTTTCAAAGCATGTTGATGGCACAGAAAAACCCCGAGCTGTCAACTAAACCACTTACAGCAATGTCACACATTGGACAAATGCATGAAAAGGAATTGCAATTCCACGAATCATTTTTAAAAGGTTCAGTATTCAAGCCAAACTGTGACTCAAGCTCAGGGTTCAGGCCGAGGCATTCACTGGCAAACAAGACCCATTCACCAGTCAGTCTCTGTAACGAGGACTGCCAGGCGAAACAACACGGTGGAAGACACTTTACTGGGTCGCACGCCCATGGAGGCACGCAGACGGATCCCCCCTAAGGCCAAATTAGTCAGAGAACGACAGCGAAAATAAACAAGATAATGCCACAGTATGGGTTGCACTATCCCATTACAATGCTCCTAAGTGTTTTGCTGCGGAGTGACCTTCGGGGAAGAGTCCTTAAAAAGAAGGGCAAACAGAAGTTCATTAGCACAATGGTGATGGACTCGAAGCTGACTTCATCGGATGGCCTATGACAATTGCAAGAATCCAAACAAGTATGGGATTTCAAACGGCTAATTGCAACGCGATTCCAATGCGACTCGGGCAAACTGTATTTAAGAGAACAGTGTGTTTCACAGTGTCGTGTTAGCGACAAATGCTAAGTTACATATGACTGAATGTAATTGGCAAGTAAACACCGCTGAACAGAATTATAACGCGTTCACATTAAAACTGGCCCGTGACCATTTCACTCGGAATGTGGCCAGCCTCACCAGGTCTCGAAAAGCTGGGTACGGTTAGAACCTGAAGAGTGCTTTGGAGTGGTGACCTTCAATGCACAACAGGTTGTTACAGGCTGCAGGGCTTTCGTGGCAGGCAGAAGCCTAGAAAAAAATTCATTGTTTATACCAAACGGGACGACCCTGGCAAACATTCCCAACGTTGGCTCAACGTTGGAACGAGGTTGGAACCGTTGGACCATCCTTGCCACAACATTCGCCAGACGTTGGAATGTGGTTGGAACCGTTGGACCAACCTTGCCCCAACGTTGGCTCAACGTTGGAACGAGGTTGGAACCGTTGGACCATCCTTGCCCAAACATTCGCCAGACGTTGGAATGTGGTTGGAACCGTTGGACCAACCTTGCCCCAACGTTCGCCAGACGTTGGAATGAGGTTGGAACTGTTGGACCATCCTTGCCACAACGTTGGCTCAACGTTGGAACGAGGTTGGAACCGTTGGACCAACCTTGCCCAAACATTCGCCAGACGTTGTAATATGGTTGGAACCGTTGGACCAACCTTGCCCCAACGTTCGCCAGACGTTGGAATGAGGTTGGAACTGTTGGACCATCCTTGCCACAACGTTCGCCAGACGTTGGAATGAGGTTGGAACTGTTGGACCATCCTTGCCACAACGTTCGCCAGACGTTGGAATGAGGTTGGAACTGTTGGACCATCCTTGCCACAACGTTGGCTCAACGTTGGAACGAGGTTGGAACCGTTGGACCAACCTTGCCCAAACATTCGCCAAACGTTGGAACGAGGTTGGAACCGTTGGACCATCCTTGCCCAAACATTCGCCAGACGTTGGAATGTGGTTAGAACCGTTGGACCAACCTTGCCCCAACGTTCGCCAGACGTTGGAATGAGGTTGGAACCGTTGGACCATCCTTGCCTCAACATTCGCCAGACGTTGGAATGAGATTGGAACCGTTTGACCAACCTTGCCCCAACGTTGTCCCGACGTCCGCCCGACGTTCTACGATCACCGAGAACAAACCTTTCTGGGCTGTCGGTTGATGTTGTCCAGCTGGAGCAGCAGCAGGTAGTTGCGAGTGCCGACCACGAGCCGGCCCCGGTCCTCGTCCAGCAGCAGAGTGCGGAAGTCCCACACGTCGACGGGCATGCTTAGGGTCACCGTGCTGTTGGTGGCCACCAGCTCTGGGGGTCGCGTTGGTGCCGGCGTACGGGCGCACCACGCCAAGGGGAAGACGCGCAACGTTTCAGACAGCGCTGCCCACGAGAGGCGGTCGTCCTGAAAGAGTTCTTAACGAAAAGTCAATCGGCTCTCTCTCTCTCTTTTTTCTGTGTGCCGAGTTCAGAATTTTTTATTTACGCTCGAAACCAAATTCAGCGGAGGAGACAGCGCGGAGACACCATGGAGACAGCAGCCATGCTCTGCGCTACTTCTTCAGCAGCTGGTGCCGCACCACCACGAAGGGAAGAAGGGCAAAGCCGCTGCCGAAGAAGCCGACCATGAGAGCCAGGAGACCCCAGCGATTCTCTACTGAGAAGGGCATCTCATCTCCCCTCCCACGTAATTGACTGTGGTGTGGCACCAGAATCAATGTCTGATAGGATTGTTACAAATCACTCGTGGCGAGCGATAGAAACCGATTTTTGTCGTTAAACAGAATTAGTTTCTGCCTGGTCATTAAAAGAGCACGTGGTGGCACCCATCCCCTGTGTATAGCCCCCATGGTGGACATTTCTACAGCACGACGCCCGCCAATTTCTCAACAAAGTGCTATTCACATTGATGAAGGGATGAGTGGTGTAACCCTCCGACCAGGACTTTTGAACTCACAATCTTCTGATTGCAAGCTACGTAACCCCACCACTGCACCGCTAAGCCAGATCAAATCACAACGTCCTATCGTATACAACTAATTACATTTTGAATGTATGACATACGGTGCGTATGTCTTTTTCGCCAATTAAATTGCACTAGTGTAGATGTTTTCTAGCCTATTATAAACTATACATATATGTTTTTTCCTATTTGTTTTTAATAAGGCTGTACGTGTTGTTAGGGCTGAGCCTGGTTGGTGCGTGGATGGGTGACCACCGGTGTTTGCCAGGCGGTGTAAGCATGGAGATGCGAGGTCGCCAGGAAATTGCAGCATTGGGCGTTACGGCTGCAAAACCGTGTGGGGTTTTTCTCTGGGTTCTCCGCTATCCTGCCACACGAAACCAAACACTCGAATTGAAAATTGGCCAAAACATTCCGAACGCAGGAACCTCTTGCAAAAACGAGTCCTGAGTCTCGGTGAGATTTAGCTTTCCTGAACGACTGCCATCGTTGTTATTAGTCGTGGTATCCGCGGTTCTGAAGAGTTACTGGATCGTGCGGTTAATATTATTAAAATTCAAGATTAAAGAGTAAACAAAACTGAACAGCAGATGTGCAAAGCTGACGATATCGAGCTGAGATTCTAGCCAAATACATTTATTTTTTAATATTTTCAACAGCTTGGAAGTTGGCACAGCAAAACGCCGTCTTGCCACTATGCATCGCCGTGCTGTTATTGATACAAGACACACGCATACTTCTCAATTTGGATGAGCGTAAAATAGTTTTATAAGTCCTCGCCCACATAAGGGGAAAACTATGCACCGCCTCGACACAACTGGGCTCCCATTAATTATTTTTTAAGTTTCTATTATGACAACAGAATGACGATAACCTGCGCATTAATATTTTTTTAATCTGCACCACAGTGATTTGTTTTAGCTCTGCTGCCAGTCCGTGGTTAGATCCACGTTTGAGGTGCATTGCGTGTCACGGTGTTCGCGATTCACACGGTGGACTTGACATCCAGAGGTCGCCGGCTCGATCTGACCTCCCGGCACGGTGGTCAGGACGGTGGGAAATCTTTTTTAAAAATCTGCCCCGTGTTTACGTCCACGCAGCAGCGTAAAATGCATAGGCCCCAATGAGTCGATGGCGAGTCGTGTGCAGTGGGGTAAGGTGTGGGCACTCGCACCTCATCCGCAACATTTGGCCAGCGTGAAAGAGAAGGCCAAAAGACCCTTTGAAGGAACCCTCTGCATGTTCCGACGATGGCACGAGCAAGACATTGCAGAGCTGCACCTTTGTCTTCTTCAGGTTGCGTGCGCTGTTAAATGTGGGCCACTCATATTAACTCGCTAGCGATATTGCATTTTTTTTTTTACCCCACAGCCCTCTGCGTATTAAACCTGGATAAATACCGTAATTAATATATATAATGGGCTGCTCAGATTTTCCAAAGAGGCCATGTCCGGTGTGGCCGATGAAGTTAATGGGAATCACATGGAAGCATATCAATCATTCCATTAGCTGTGGTGGCCACACCTAAATGTGGGGCAAATCTGTGCGATTTGGACGGCAACAACAAAAAAAAGACCAAACCGCCGAGTAATCAAAACTAGAGCCGAAGCCACGGCGCTATTGCTTTCTTTCAGTCCGGTAGTCCTGCGCGCAATGTCAATGTTTCGACGCAGATGTGGCGCACATGTTTGAAGCTCACCGCGGTACGAGAGCTTGAGGCGGGGCACGGGCGGTCGCTGGTCCGTGCTGCCGGCGGTGGGCAGGCCCAGGGCAAGGACGAGCACCAGGCAGGCGGTCGGCCACACCGAGCCAACGTGAGGGCCCATCTCGCACGGCCGCCGCTGCAAGCTGACCCCCCCGCCCAAGCCGCTGGCAGATCGGCGCGATCTTCCGACGGCTGACGGGCGGCAACCCCCCCCCCCCCCCCTGGGATGCACACAGCGGCCACGATGGAGCGTTTCACTACGATGCCACGATCGAGCCGCGACTGGGCTCAATCCGATCCATGCCGTCGTTAAATCATTAGATCGCATATTCGTCGGTGAAATTCTCCGATCCGTATTCTAAGGTTTTTTCGGTAAAGTCGGTAGTGACTTTACCGAAAAAACCTAAGAATATGAATCCTTGCAGTCACGAAAGCTTCAAATCTAGAATTCTCCGATCCGTGTTCGGCGTTTAATGGACACGCAATGGAAAAAAGAAAGTATCTGTGCTGCAAGACACGAATTGTGAACGGTGTTCAAATAAAGATTTTAAAAATAAACTGCAAAAGAGGATGAGGCACATGAGTGGAAAACACAGCAGGATATGTATACCTGGGGCAGTTATTAAAGGATGATTGAACTGAAAAAAAGACATTAAAATAAAGAGGGCGGATGAGAGCGGTTTGCAATGATTTTGCAAATGTTAACCCAATAATGAACAGCATCGCAGCAATCTGCCTAACGAAGGATGCCTTTAAACAGCAGTGCGCATTGCTTGCGGTTGACTTACGGAGAAGAGATGTGGCCATCAAGGGAAAATGGAAGTAAAACCTGAAAATTGTGCAAAGAAATGTGGTGAGTTGCGTGCTTCGTATTTACACCGAGAGGCGAGGCAGGAAGGGGGAGCCCAATGAATGGGGGAACAAGGAGGACTTGGAGACATGCAGTCGGCTACGAAAAGTCGTGACACTCGCTGAAGCCTACTTGCGTAAATAATTGGTGGTGGTTGTTGTTATTATTATTACATTGGTCTTGAATCCGCAAACTAATAGCAATGTAAAGGAAATCAATCTGAAAATACAAAATTGTTTCTGCCACTGGGTAGGAAGAAAAGGTTATGATATTTTTGCTGACTGGCCATGAAAGAATATAATTCATACGGAAATATTATTTTGTAGAAACGGAAGACTGACTGATTGATTGCCTTTATTTAAACCCAGTAAAAAACTCATCGAGGCTGATCCTTTATTTTTCTTGGCACATACAAGTCATAATAAAATACATCAAAGAGCCAAAACCAAACACAGCCCAGAGCCAATTTTAAGAAACGTTTAAAACTGACCATAGGGCTCTGTCTTATATTCATACGTAAGTACAGGATACAGAGCAACGGTTACATAAACCACACATTTCGATACAACAGCTGCTAAATTTACCTTTCTGATTTCACTCCTGACCATTTTCAACTTTAACACTGAGCCAATTCCGCTTAGCGGTGGTCATTTGGTTCATCGCTAACCAGTACAACGGGCTTTGAGATAAATAGCAAAATCAAATAAAACTTTTAGTTTGACAATTATGACCCTGGGCAGCCTGACATCCGTTTGAAGCCTTCCATCAATGACAACGTGGACATTAAAGTTAATCAAGTGTACCGTTGTGGAACGTCAGTGGCATCACAGTGACGTCTAAGGCTGTTCGGTTTAATATGCCAGTGCAGTGACGTCACTACAGGACCTATTACTCAGTGCCTGAACATGATTATAAAGTGTTTTTTGTATCACTAACAAAGCTTTAACGTGTGTTGTACAGCCAGAGACACACAGCTAACATAACGCCAGTTTATATATTTTTTATTTCTATCTTCCTCGACGCAGTTACATTCTATGTGTTCTGCGTGGTCTCAGTGCCCGTGTTCAGATGCGAGCGATCGACAGCGAGAAAATAGAAAAGTTCATTATTAAGTTAGCATTTTACGATAATTTACTGGTCAACACACTTTTTCTGGCATAAGGTATTTCAACGGTTTAAGGTAATTTTGGGGTGCTGATTCCAAATCTGGAATCAGCACCCCAAAAGTTTTTGTCTATCACATCAGGTTTTTGAGAAATCAAATATTGCATTTTCAATAAAAACTGCAGAAGAAAAATATTAAATAAATGTGGATATCTACATAAAATTATATTATAAACACACTATCCTAAAAATACAGCACCATATTTTAACACTAAAGCAGTCACTGACTCGCAACAACTTGCAATCATAAGTGACAGAGTTAATTTCGGGTAAAATCAATGAAAATGGGGTATGCCGATAGCATAAAAATGATGTGATAGAGCAAATCTGAGATCAGATTTGGAATCAGCACCCTGAAATTAGTCTAACACAGCTGCAAAAGTCCAGGCCGGAAAAAAATGTTTTTTTTTTTGTTGACCAGTGTTATTGGAGTTTATCCATAACCCAATAGCTACTTAAAGTGTAACCATTCATATGCCAAAATAAAAACTGGGTAATCAGAAACCACTTTTAAAAATATAATTCACATCAGGGCGCACGGTCTAACGTGCCATCCCCAACTTTTACTGTCCACAAAGAAGGGCCATTCCCTGAAACATTACCTCCTATTATATATTATTTTATTTAAAAATCACAGCGTTGTTGACGATTGTGTTGAGTTTTTTTGTGTATTTACACACCATTGTCAACGTAGCAGCGTCACAAAATAATTAAATTGAGGCAATACTCTTTGGTTCTTTCGGTAAAGTCACGTAGGTAGAAAGTCACGAAAGCTTCAAATCAAATTGAGGCAATGTTACATGTGTAAACTACCCAGATAGAAGCATTACATCACGTGCGAATGTGTCCCATATAATCGGTGGTCTTATCGGACTAACATACATCTGATACCAGATAAATAACAACACCCAAGACAGAGGTTATCATTCATTAGCTAACTGTTATAAAATATTGGTCCTATTCATATTAAAAGCAGGATGATTAGACCTAAGTCAAAATAACAATTTTATTTCAATCCACAAGTCGGAGCGAATACATTCACAAACTCCCAAAAAACATAAACACGGGAGAGAAATCGATAGGATAAAAAGTTACGCAAATTAAAGATGTAAAGTTTCGTCTGATTCGTGAAAATGTCATGATTACATTATCGTGTGGTGGGCTAAGAGGCCATTTTGTTCCGGTGATCACGTGCGATTTGTCCGTTGAGCGACGTTAACCAGCGACAGTGGCCTCTAGAGGAGGGGACCTATCTACACCTCAACCTGAGTGTGGCTAATGACGTAATTTCTGTCAACACTAGGACAACAAAGGCATTTAACCCCCACGTAAGGCATCTTGCCCCTACCCTACCCCTAGTAACGGTGGGGGGAGTTTTTTGACATTTGTTTCAGCACTGGGTCACAAGCCAATTCCTTAATACCCAATGAAAAAAAGAGATGATCGCGGGGAAAATGAGGTTTACATCTTAAGCCTCACCAAACTCTTATAATCGCACGCGCAGCGACGTTACGACGTGCGTTACGTTAGTTATGCGGGCAGCTTACTCGTATTACACAGGGCACTGCCCTTTCTAAGAAAGAGCTCTCCTTCAACCATTGAATTTATCTTGTTTTGTTCACACCACATTTAAAACCTCGCAACCTAAGATGCGCTTTTGTCATACATTGCAATGTAACGTACAGGCCCTTTGTCAATCCGCTGCTGTGGGAAGACCTCACCAAGCCCTGTTGGTCATGGGGAGGGGGGGGCGGTTGTTTAGCCCATATCTCACGTTGGTCAGTGTGCATTCAAACTATTTTTTTCATTTTACCAGGTAAGGCCCACTGAGCTATATAGCTTTTTTTAGAAGCGACCTGGTCACAAATGATAGCTCAACGAAATGGCTTATCACGTGGAAATTTATTGTAGCAGCTAAATACTCTAAACGCGTGTTTCTAAATATGAAAGAAAAAACTGGAGGATCCGGAAAAACCCCACGTGACCACGGGGAGAGAGACTCGCAAACTCCAAATATACAGGGGTCAAGGGTCGGGATCGAACCCACGCTCTCCTTCATACCAGGCGATGGAGTTAACATCTCACCATCGTGGCGTTGGTGGAATGGGGGGTGCGGGAGCAGGACTGGTTGAGATATCGCCACTGATGTCAACCGTAGATGCAAATCGAACACTGGTCTCCAGGTTCATAGCACAGGGCACTATCTGCTCTGTTCGTGTATGTGTTGAACTTCTTTCGCACCGTACGCAGCCAACCGCGCAAATCAGTGTTGCGTGGGAAGGACAACAAACTAAACACAAATAGCAGTTCTAAAGAAATGAATTCATGTAGATAATGAGAGCAGTGAGTGGAAACAAACTGTTTCTCCAATAAATAAAACAAAATCAAGCCCCAAATTTGTGCCATAAAGATTATTATTTTGGAATCTACAGGGTCTGACAATACTGTGGTCAAAGTCTGCCGAAATAACCAGGCTGAGCCGTGCCTCATCTTGTGCTTTGTTTGAGAATATGGCAGAAACACTGTAGACCTTTTTAGAAATGGGGCGATGTGCATGAAAAGGCCGATGTGGTTCGGTCATGTGTAGAGACAACAGGAAAATTATGTTGGTCAGAAGGTGCAAGTGATGCAAGTGGAAGGAAAGAGATCAAGAAGAGGAAGGCAGAAAAAGAGGTGGGGGGGGGGGGGCGATGTAGTGCGATCGGACCGTGGTGGCCCGAGGAGCGGAAAGAGAGATGGCGCAGGACAGGGCAGCGTGGAGAAGGTTGGCAAGATCAGCGGAACACCCCACGTGAGTGGGACAACCGCGTGGAAGAAGAACAAGTAGAAGATGATGTCCATGACAGTGCACCAAGCACACTGCACGTGCTACCGTTGAATTGTTGGGGAAAGCATCGACGGGACATTCACTGTTGCCACCCGAAGCGGCAAATTGAATGCTGGTCGCCGGGGTTCACAGCACAGGGCGCTAACCGCTCTGCCACCACTCCTTCCCCCTTATCATGTGTTGAGAATTAACTTGATACAGCTGTCGTGGCTGTGATGGTACCACCTGAAGACGGAAGCTTGTGTTGCCTCCGAAATGTCGTGATTTTTATTTTATTTTACTTTTTAATGTTTTACCTATGTGACTTTACCGAAAAAACCTAACAATATAATTAACGCTCGATTTGAATAATGTTC